AAATATTATAACGGTATTTAGTGTTACATTTAATTTACTAGTGCATAAATTTAACACTACTGTGTGTTAAGGGTACTCTGGGTAGTGACCCGGGAAAAAAAGGTTTGTTAATTAGAGTATTATTTTACACTATTTTTATAACATTTAGACTCTTATTAATGAGTTATTTAATCTTTTAGAGTAAACAAAATACTCTATTTTTAGTAAATATGCATACCTTTTTTACTCTGATTAGTACACTTTCATTCAAATCGAGTAAAAATTACTCTATCCTTAGTTGCTATAAAGAGAGGAAAATTAAAAACATATATTTAAATTCAAAAGTATATTTTGTGAAAAATAAAAAATAAAAAATCATATACTTAACTAATGTTAACATAAAAATGAAAACAATGTATAATTAAAATATGTAAATTAACTCGAACAAATGTTTCTTTTAAATCAATGCATCCATTTTGAATGGGATTTGTATATAATTGGCTCGTTTCTGTTATTATCGGTTTTGGGACAAGATGCCTAATCACATTTCAAGTTTTTACAATAAAATATCTTTAATATAAATAATAAGAAATAATGTACCTATTTTATACGTATTATGCAGCGGCACCCACGCACAAGCGAACCATTAAACAGCCCTTGGAAACAGCACTAACCTAGTTTACAAATTTATAGACGCTTTGCAATCCCCACCACAAATAATAACCCTAATAGTGTAGATTTAACTCTTTTTAATGTAAAAATATACTCGCTTACTGTTTACTTTACTCTAATCCAAAACAATAATACACTAGCAAGAGGAAAACTAGGGAAATTTTAACGCAAATAGCGGTTGTAAAATACTAATTTATAGTGTAAATGTTTTACATTTTACAAAGTCTAAATTAACACTAATGCGATTGTATTAGACATTCGAGTAAAAAATATAATATTTTTAGAGTTACGTTATTATTACACTGTAAAATAATGTAAAATAGAGTTATGTAGAGTAATATTAAGCTATAGAGTTAAATAATTGGTGCATTTTACACTGAATATCAACTCTAAAATATTTACCAACTACACTAGCTACTTTACTCGATCCATATTTTTTACTGTGTAACGTCTGATTTAATTTGGGCTCACCGGATGGATGATGCATTATTTTAAGGCTTTGTTTGATAAGACAATCGAACATCGATGCAAAAGAGCTGCCCCCTGCAATGCCAATTACCAAGATGGATGGCATCCAACGAACTGGGTCAGACATCCGATACACTCCGTTGATTTCCTGCTCCCGTTCTGTCGTTCGGATTCAAAAACAATCCCATTTCCTAAAACGTGGAAGTTTATCTTCAGGATAACGATGCCAAACTTTTTAACCGGATTAATTTGGCCTCCGTTCGTCCCGTTTTGAATGGGTTTTAAAGACGCTGATTTCCGATTGGATGCGGAACAATGCCCGATTCTCTGACTGCCTAAACTTAAATGCAACTCATTCTTGAACGTCTTAATAGTAATCTTCTAAGGGGACCTCCATTAATTACATAAGGCATTTTTCTGATTATTTGGACCCCCTTTTCCCCTTGGTGAGATTTGGTGAGACGTGGTAGACCCCTCCTATCCCTCACATGAGATTCTAGCCATTAAACTTTCATTGCATACATGATAAACCCCCAACAAATTTTTAAGAAATATTATTCAAAGTTTCTGAGGAACGGTAAAAGATACCGATTTTAAATTTTTAAAGCGTTTATAATCCAATTAGGCCTATTTTCATTTTCATCAACTTTGTTATTTGAAATAGAATACCCCATATATTTTTAAATTCTGAGTAAAATTACCATGTCCTTTACCTATAGAGTGAATAGTTTTCGAGTTTAATTTTATGGACATGGTATAGTAACCTATAGGTTTGCAGAAATGGGGATGGAATTTTTGGAATCTTAAAACATTGTTTAAAAAATTTTTTAGGTTGTGATACCACTATAGATTCGAAAGCAATGTATAATCGTCAAACTAAAAAAAACAGATTTGTTTGCAAGATATATTTAATATAAGATAAATACAAATCTGTTGTTCAAAATTCAAAAATTAAAACCAGAAATAATTTTTTTTATTCAAATTATTATTTTCTTTAAGTATAATTTTTTATCATGTAAAAATATACAACATTTGAAGAAAAAAAAATTATTTATAACAAAATAAAAAAATTAAAAATCTGTATTTATAAGTTAAAATAATAAGAATGGCTGAATAAAAATTTAAATTACGTGATTTCGTGAAACGGTGAGAACCTTTATTTTAAAATCTGTTAAAATTTTTCATGGGAGGAAAATCGTGTTGTGTAATAGGTACATATTCTTTAAACACAAAAGTTGACGTGAGATTTTAAATTTAGAAAAAGATAAGAAAAAAACAAAATTTTTTTGTCAAACAAGGTTTTTTCTTACTTTTTCACTCTTCTGAAGGTACTCCCAGAGTTTCATATTTTTAAATTAATTTTTAACCTGACCACTAAATAGAAAAAATCATCAGAAAAAGGTAATAAAAAATCATATATTTTTTTTCAAACGAGGTTTTTTCTTACTTTTTGATTCTTCTTAAGGTTTTAGATTTTTTAATTATTTTTTAACCTGAGCCCCGGCCACTTAAAAAACAAAATCAGAAAAAGGTAAGAAAAAAACAATTTATTTTCAAACAAGTTTTTTTCTTACTTTTTGACTCTTCTGAAGGTACTTTCAAAGTTTAGCTTTTTCACTTAATTTTTAACCTGAGCCCTGACCACTTAAATAAACAGCATGATAATTTTGTACTACTACTACTACAATAATTAATTTTGTAATTTTAAAAATTAACGTATTACTTAACAACAATGTTTTTACTAATATTAAAAAATTAAATTGTTGACAACTGAAAATCGAATAATAATGGTAAAATATATATTTAAGTAGATAACAATAATATTCCCGGATACTCATTATTTATCTCAATTATAATCAATTATGGTCGTCATTGAATTTAATAGTGGAAAATGTGGTAAAAACAATATTTATTAATTATGTGCAATAAAATCTTTGTATACAAGAGATTTAAAAAAAATAAGTTCAGGAAATGACATTAAAATGAAATATTTCTAAAAAGTTTATGAACATTTCTTCTATAAACACTTTAATTTTATCAAAAAGTCTTTTAATAAAAAGTATAAATTTTCCTCTTTTAGTAAATAATATCAGCTCAAAAGGTAAAAATGTGCATATTGCTGAAATCACAATTTCATGATCTATTCGAATCTCCAAAAAAAAAGATGTTGCTTTTAAAACTAATACACCGAAAAAAATAATGTAGTTGAGTTAACATTTGCCTAAATGTCATTTTTAAAAATGTTGTTTCAACAAAAAACCTATTGGATTAATCTATATTTTGGTGTTAAAGCAAAAGTCAGAGTTTGTCAAAGTTTATTTGTTCATTTGACAGTTTAAATATTAATTTAACATAAACTAATATTTTGAATTAAAATGTTTATCGTACTTTGATTTAATAGCTGGAATTTGTTGAATCAACTACTGAAATTTTTAGGATTACCTAAAAAAACTATTAAATTAACGTTTAGTTGCTCTTTAATCCAAAACTTTAAATTTGTTCATTTAACAAATTTAAAATGTTACTTTAAAATTTAAAATGTAAAATTTGCATTCATAAAATTGCCGAGAATGGCGCTTCGAACACTCACGCCACGTCATTAGACAGTAACGTTTTCTTACATCTCGCCTTAGTTAGCTTACGATTAGTTGTATATAAGATGAGATATCTGTTTGTTTAAGGTGTGTTCCACAGTAGAACTTTCACTACACCATATTGCCCGACACTGTAAAGACCCTCAATACAGGGCGAAACAGTCTGTCGGTATTTGAAGTAGGTGGAACACATGATACAAAGATGTATCATGGGTGGAACACGCTCAAAACAAAAACTCTGGGCAATTCTTTCTATTTATATATAATAATATATTATTTCCATAATTTTGTTTTGGATACCAACCTTTAAAGAATTTTACATTTTCAGAATGTTAATTTAACATTTTATTGGTGTTAAGTGAATATGCTAAAAAGGTTACCTGGACATTTCAAGAAATTTACCTTAACACCCTAAGAATGTTAAATTAACCAAATTAGCAGATTAGAACAAATATTCTTATTTTGTTCATTTGACTGTTATTTGTTGTTCAATTAAACAATACAATTTGACATTTTTAGATGGTTAAGTAAACGTGCAAAAACCATTGCTTGTATTTAAAGTGCATAAAGAGTTGAATTAATATTTTTTTTGTTGTTTCAACAGCTTATTTTTTTCAGTATACTTAAATGTATCGAATTAAAAGACTCGCTTAAAAACAAATTAATCATAGTCGCTTGGCAAACGGAAAGTAAATTAAATAAAAAAAGTGAGGCATTAATCAAGATCTTAACGGGTACAATTTAATCTAGGAAACCATCGAAAATTTTGCTGAATTTCGCTTTGTAACGAACTTGAAGATAATTAACCAAGAGGAGCTCAAAAAGTTTTTTATTTTAATACCACCGTAATTTTTATGCTAAAATAAAAACTACTTGGGATATTATAATGTTTTCTGAACATCCTGTATAAGAGTACTTATTCTATAAACTTTTTGCACACTAACGTGTGCAATAAAATTTTAATAGATCTCCTTCAATATATGGCCAATAAAAAAATATCAACCTACATCGCCTTATTCCGACTAGATTTTTTGTCATTCTTGGTACACTTTACAGTGTCTAGTGTTAATTAGTGTTAGGCATTTGTTTTTCTCTTTCTCTATCTTTCTCTCTCTCGCCTTGTTCTAATTAAAGATTTTTATCATTAAAATGGTTTTGCATCATTTACATCACGCCTACTGTGTTTTATAGTTTTTTTGTTCGATACTTTACAATGAAATTTTTTTTCTCAAATTAAAATCAAACAGTTCTCAATCAAATTTTTAATTAAGTTTTAACACAGACTTGATGCAAATCGCAACGGAGATATTTTCAATTTGTCGTACAATTAGTGTCGTACGTACGTCGGTAACGAAGGCAACGGCGGAGCTAGGATGTCTTTGGGGAGCGGGTGCGCTTAATGCAATCAGGGCGGTAATTAAACTACCCTTTGATCCTGCTTGTAGCTACGCCCGGCTTTTAATTCACTGCGCAAGGAAAGAACAGTGGAAAGTATAGTCCGTTCCAACAAACCGGGACGCGTCGTCGCCGATCGGCAGGTGGACAGCGCGGTCATTATTGAGTCACAAACTTTGTAACTTTGAGATTTACAGCTTATACGTGTTCAGAAAATAACGGGAATTGTTAAATTTCGCGGCTTCGAAGGGTCCGGTTGTCATAAAATTTTCTTTATTATGTTGGTATACATGCCCCCGAAGTATGAAAAACTTTAGCTGTTTTCAATGTTTACTTTGTCTGTGGCTGCCGCTAAGGTTAGACGTGTTTTATGAGCTCGGCGATTTTTCGTTCGTTAAAAGAAATGGATCAAAGAATTTGTATCCAATTTTGCTTAAAAAATGAAATAAATTCTGTGAAATCTTAACAAAGGCCTATAGTGAGTCTGCTATAAGTAAAACAAGAGTTTAAAAGTGGTATAAGAGTTTCCAAGATGGCCGTGAAGACGTTGAAGATGACGAACGCCCTGAACGCACAAGCACATTAACAACCGATAAAAACGTGGAAAAAGTGGAAGAAATGGTTATAAACCAACAGAGAAGTCGCTGATGATGTTGGTATATCGATTGGCTCATCCCATGAAATTTTTTCGAATGTTTTGGGTATGACACACGTGGCAGCAAAATTTGTTCTAAAATTGTTAAATTTTGATCAAAATTTTTGGCCAAAAACAATACTGTAATGATGCCCCAGCCTTCATATTCGCCAGACATGCCTCTGTCTGACTTTTTCCTATTCCCAAAAATAAAGAGAACCTTAAAGAGCCGTCGTTTTGCAAGAATAAATGACATTAAAAGCGCATCGCTGAAAGAACTAAAGGCTATCCCAAAAATCGAGTTTTAGAAGTGTTTCGAGTATTGGAAGAAGAGCTGGCACATGTGCATAATATCCAATGGGGACTATTTTGAAGGCGACAACATTAATGTAGACGAATAAATAAATATTTGTTTCAAAAAACAATAATTCCCGATATTTTCTGAACACACCTCGTATTTATTATGATTATCAAAAGCCACAAAAAATCTACTATAAATATAGTAGCATATATACTATAGTACGTATATATATTTTATAAAATACTTTTGAAGATAATTGGAGCTATTAAAATAAACATAAAAATCAGTGGGCCCACATTCCATCCTCAAGTGTTGTTAAAAACGGATATGGATTTATTTCAATTTTTTGCTTCTAGTTTTAGCGCCTTTGGTCATGTACACCATTTGTCGAACCATCCTGGTAGTTGCTTTGCATGAAATATTGCTGAAATTGTAAATAAGTACTTAAAGTTTAATTACCATTTAAGGTAAAGCCCAGTTTGTGTTTACATAAACAATCATATAAATCATCATATCATGTGCTCCTTATAAGTGTATGTAATTGGTTGACAAAACTAAGGTGATGCGATATGGTGCCAAAACAATATATTCAGAGTAGTCAAGCTAAGATATTAACCATTTAGCTACTTAATTGAAAGTTTTTACATGTAATAAATCAGTGCATTTTATTTTCCCACAGCGAATTCCAAACATGATTACAAGAGTTTTGTCAATTAACCGAAATACATGTACAATGTACATTGTACATCTGTTTAGTGAACATGCAAATTTTATTTTAGTGTTAGAGCGGAAACAAAATTAGTAATTTGCTTCAACATTTCTATTCGTTTGACTTAACCAAAAAAGGTTAAAACCTTTTAAATCTTCAATCAAGCACCCATTAAACATAAAAATGCTTCCTTTAATGCAAATATTTCTTGACTTACCAATAAAAAAGTCAATGCATTAGTGAACATTGACTCAAAGCGTTTATTTTTCTCAATGTAATATTACTAGTAATTTATTGTTATGTTGTAATAGTTATTTTATACCGTTTAGTGCACGAAATTTGTTACATTAAACAAAAATTTTAATCTCGTATATTTTTAATAGGCATTTGAATAAATTTTGCTAGGAATAAGTGCGTCTAGTTATAACACCATACCCTAGGAAATAGTAAAAAGAAGAGATCCAAAGCCAAATTCAATTCGCTCTGTTTAGAGTATTACACTATCTTCTAGCTGATAAATGCATTGAGCTTATCCTTTCAGCGCTTATCTTTCGTTTCTGGTTTAAACTTTCAAAGAGCATTTTCAGGGATGAAATAAAATTTAACAGCAATCTGATGTGCAAAGTGAATTGGTTTAAATGTTATATTGATTTACAAAAATACAAACATACGAATCCATTTAAAAACTAGTAAGATTTTATTGTAACATTATATTTTTTTGCAGCAAGACTGTCCAAATGGTCGACTGACGCCAGCCAAATTCGTCGACATGTACAAGATGTTCTTTCCCTCCGGTAACGCCGAAGAATTCTGTGATCACGTTTTTAGAACTTTCGATATGGACAAGAACGGCTATATCGATTTTAAAGTAAGTTTTTTAATGCCTATTTTACAATATCAGTATATTATGTATCAAGTTTGATAAACGCCATTTATAAACGAGTTGCATAAATACTTTTTCTATAAAAAATACTTATTATTATCTAAAAATGATTTAAATTAAATATTTGTATAGAGCGACATCTATAAAACAATAGAGTAACCAACTTGGGAATTATTTTATTTCAATTTTTTTTTATGGATATCTTGACAGACTAAATTTTTGTAGTTATTATTATTCTGCATTTTTCTACTTAAATGTTTCAATAAAATTTAGTATAGAGTCGTTTTGAGGGGTGGTGAATCAAATCCGTGCTTAGATTTTGTTTCGCTAATATAATTGTATTTTGTAAAAATATGGCGTTTTTTGCTCCAAAAATACAGTTTATCAAGATCTACACTTCCGGTCAAAATTGCACAATAAATAAAGATTTTACAGGGGTGAGTCGCAAACAAATGGGTAACACTGTATACAAAACTACTTAAGTATGGCCATTAGATGAAAAATTACAGATTTACTCATTACTATGCTCAGCATAAACATTAGTAATAAATTTTAAAGAGTCATTATTTAGATCACAATAATTTGAGATTTTATTAAAAATATATCACATATCTGAAACAGGCGACGATACACCAACATTAGTTCTTGCAAATGAATAAAAATACAAACAACTTCTAGCACAAGCTCTTGGAACTAAAAAAAGTTTATATCAAAAGGAAGAAAATTAGTTTTTTATACAAATATATAAAAATATTATAAGAAAAGCACGATTTTTAAATATTTAAAATTGCCATTTTCCACGGGGTGTAGAATACACTGCGAGTCAAAATTAACGCATAAGAAGTAAAAAAAATTCAACTCTAAAACGCCTTTACCAATCTATATAAAATTTTTTATAAAAATACTTTAACTTATATCTCAGTTTACGTGTTCAAGGGTTTTATTAAAATATCCTTAAAGCCCTTTAATTTAATAATAAAAAACGCTCGAAAAAAAACTTTTATGTGGAATTTTTTTTTAAGTAAATAAAAAATATTCTGTGAAAGACCGTATTTTTATTAGTATACCCTGAAAATGTTGTACAAATCAAACGGGCAGTAACGAAAATACAGCGCTTCAAATCGTCAAAAAGGACCATTTTTTAGCAAAATAATCAAAAAGGTGTCATTTTTACCGACTTTGAAGCGCTGTATCTTCGTTACTGTTCGTTTGATTTGTACAAAATTTTCAGGGTATACTAACAAAAATACGGTCTTTAACAGCATATTTTTTATTTACTTAAAAAAATTCCCTAAAAGTTATTTTTCGAACGTTTTTTTATTATTAAATAAAAGGGCTTTAAAAATATTTTCTCGAAAAAACCTCGAACACGTAAACTGAAATATAAGTTGAAGTATTTTTATTCAAAATTTCATAAAGATTGGTAAAGGCGTTTTAGAGTTAGAATTTTTTTACTTATTATGCGTTAATTTTGCAATAAATTATTACCAATTACCAAGTATATCCAAGTGTGTAATCTAAAAATGCAAAAAATACATTTATTGAAATTTAGAAGGTTGTTATCGTCCCAGGAACAAAAATATAATATTAAAAAAAATTACTTCATGAATTTTTGTAATCTAAGATAAGCAAATGGGTCACCTTACGTGGTTCACCCTGTATATAAATAACCTAAAAACGCTTTATACCCACATTCTATATGAACTGAACTAAATGTTTTTATTTTGGTCGGGAGGAAATTAAATTTGTATCCATTCTTTTTAAGCGATATTAGGTTATAGCGTGCCCCATCGCTTAATCTTGTACTTGTATTTAAGCGTGCCAAATGTAAAAAATGCTGATGGTCGCGTGCTCGCAATCGCATTAATTTCTTTAATATTGTTTCGACAATCTAACCCATTATCGAGTGCACAGAAAATGCTTACAGGCGACTCCATAAATAACGCAAAAATTTGTCGCTATAAATTTATTTTAATCTTTTAAATTTACAAAGCATTAACACCGTTTCTGCTCTAAATGGACAACATATACTCGGTACTAACACCTAAATAAATATTTTTTATCCGAAATCGGCAGTAAAGTAAAAGAAATCGGCAGTAAAGTAGAACTTTACTGCCGATTTAATACGAGTATGTAACCCATTATACATTTTAAGATGTGTCTACTGCTCCTCAGCAGCAAATAAATAATATTAAAAAAAGCACTGTCGCGAAGGTCGATTGGACGGTTTCATAAAATGTTGTTTAATATAAATAATAAGTTAATTTTATTAATTGTATTAAAAAATCGCCGCGGCGGGCAAATATATAATAACCGTCGCAACAAACAGTATACGTAGACACTTCCTACATTCAAATGACATTTGATTTAATAATTAATATTAATCCCGTGGTTATTTCAACATTCGTGATAAAAAATACAACTTTACTGCCTTGATACATACATAAATAACTATTATTTGAGACTTTGTTTTTAAATTATAGACCTTTTCAAAAAATTTCTTAAATAAACCTCTTTACTTATCTTTGTTGGTTGATATTTCTGTTAAAAACGTTAAACACAATTTTTTTGAATAACAAGTATAAAAAGGTTAATGTAAAAACAAACACAATTTTTTTGAATAACAAGTATAAAAAGTAATTATTTCGTCTCGGTAGACAGCTGTTTCGATCTATTGGATCTCATCAGTGCTGGTGAGGAACACGAACGAAATTAAACAAAAGCGGAGACGAAATAATTACAAGTGAATCAATTACCTAACGAGGTTAATCGTAAATATTAATTTTTAATTTTTAAACATATTACCTAGCCGGCGAGGGCTAAAGTCATCTTTTAGGTCATAGATGGCGTAAAGCACGCTATATGTCAAGTGCAGAAAATGACAAGACATATAGAAGACCACGTCGAAGGACGGTAGATGGCGCCAAATTACTTTCGTCTCACCGCTTTGAATGATTGCATTTCCTATAAAAGGCAAGGCAATTAAAATTTTGTTCGTGTTCCACACCAAACAGCAACTCGGTACTGATGAGATCCAATAGATCGAAACAGCTGTCTACCGATGCTGGTGAGGAACACGAACGAAATTAAACAAAAGCGGAGACGAAATAATTACAAGTGAATCAATTACCTAACGAGGTTAATCGTAAATATTAATTTTTAAAAGTATAAAAAGGTTAATGTAAAAACAAAAGAAGGTCGATAATTCGAAAACACAAGCTCAAATGAAAAATATTTATTTCGATGCATCCCTGTATTTAAATTGTGACAAATCTTGGCAGCTAAATTTCGAGTTTAAGATTTGATTTTTTCATTTGCAGCTTTGGCGTTGAAGTTGAAATTTAGATACTTAGATATGAATAATTAATTATTAATTACGCTCTGTTTTGACTGTGCCATAACATGCAATGTTTTTGTTTATGTGCAAAAAATCAATGTTGTCTACACCAGCCACAGTAAAAAAATATGAACCAGATTTTATGTTAATCCAGATCTACATAACTTTATTTTAAGTTTACAACCAACTGTTGTACTGTTAACTAATTGATTAAGTAGTTTTTAATTATAATTAACATTTTGTAAATTTAATAACAAAATTCTATATTAATAATTCAACCATAATTCTTGTAATTTTCAATAAGGACCTTATTTTTTCAAACCTTTTTGTAGACCCAGTATCGAAAGTATTTATTGGATATTGGGAACTTAAATGAAAAGAATTTTGATAAGAAATGTTGCTTTAATATTAATATCAATTTCCAAAACAAAAAAATTAACACATACTTGGGTCATTTTCAAGAAACACCCGCTCTCAGGAAAATGAAGATCAAAATATTTTTTTGGATTAAATTGACTTTTTGTTGGATTTTTTATAAATGTTTAGAGTTTTGTTTACTTACATTTAAGACAGGCAGTGCACTTTTTAATTTTTTTTACGTTTTTTTCAGAAAAATGTGTTTAGCTAGCTTTATATATCTCCATTACCAATTTGAAATCCAAAATTTAATTCAATAAAAAAAGTTGTTATAAAAATAATTTGAAATAAAATACTGTACTTAATTCACAAACTTTTGAATCCAATTTTTTATATTTCTAGATTGTAGACACACTTTTTCTTTGACTATAAGTGGTAAAGGTCCCTTTTAGTACTTTTATATTGCGTGGAATATCAAATTAGTCATTTTTGAGTAATTCATTTTTAGAGAGTTAACAAAATGATCTGTAACCTTTGAAATTAACAAAGTGCTTACAAAGTTGCATATTATCTGTACAAAACTTTCAGTAAAATATTTTCCTTTATTAAAATAATTACAAACCCTGGTTTTGAAAATAAAACAGGTATTCTACAAATTATGTTAAATTTTTACAAAATAAAATTAACTAACTACAAACTCATGTAAACAAATCTGATTTTTATAACAGTGTAAACAGTATATTCGATTGATTTAACCACATCATATATAGGTACATATCCTCATAATAAATAGGGCCACGTGCCAGGATGTGCCAAACGTGTTACGTCAAGCATAAATCATCAATTTCTTTTGTGCGTCCTTTATACGAACACCCGCTATGTGACCGCGCGCTAATTAATACAACGTTGGAATAATAATTAAAATCGACTGCAATCTGGTACCTTGACTTACTAAACCGCAAAATTCCATCAAAATACGGGCAAATGCATTTCTTTGCATTCGAAACATTACTACCTACAACTTGTAGAAATCCTGATAATGTTCTTCAGAACCGAAGTTTAGGTTTATAAAATGGAAGGTCAAAATGTGTGGTCTAATAGTTTATTAAACTCCAAATTATTACATGTTTTCTACAGAAAAATGTTTCCTTTTTTTGCATTGTGCTTCATCTCTTAGAAATTCAGCAAAATTAATTTCCATATTCTCCAGCAATAGCAGTTGTCTAAAATAATATAAAAACCAGAAAAATTAAAGCCTTTTTTTTATTTTAACGTATTTACCTGTAGGTTACGTTAGCACGCTTTAACATAATTTTTGAAATTTGGGTGTAAAGTTTATCACATCTTTTATCAGATAAATATATAACCTCCTGTATCCCAGACTTAATTATGATTTTGGCACATTCGTTGCAAGGAAACAACGTAACGTAAATTTTGCAGTTTTTCACATCAGCGCAGGTTTTGTTTATATATGCGTTAAATTCGGCATGGCACACTAAAATATAGGCCCAATTTTAGTTTATTATTCAACAATTGAGTCAAAGTTTACGACTTATTCCAAGTCAAAAATATAAATTTGACCCAATTTACAATTTTGATTTATCAAACCATAATTTTTTTTGTGTTCCAATGCTCCCGTGCTTTTTGCCCAATTGTCACAACCAGCAGGCATATCATTGTATCCAACTCCCACGATAATTCCATTTTCGTTTACTATACATGCCCCAACTTTTGTCACTGGGTCGTCACTTCTCTTAGCAGTCACACAAGCCAAAGTCATAAAGTATTTATCACCTTCCTGTCAATCAAAAATTGCGTTTATAATTCATTTTTCTGAATTTTTCTAAAATATTTTAAACAATTCAACTCAGTTTAAGAAAATTACAAAATACACAAATATATTTAATATAATATTACAATTATATTTTTACTGAACTGAACTTACACCAAAAATATTTAGTAATTTAATTGTAAGTATACTACGAAAAAAACCTGCAATTTTCTTAGTTTCTTCAAGAAACTTCCTTGACCCATTACTGTAAAAATTAAAAAAAAAATGAACCTTCACCTCGCCAGAGTTTTTGTTTTAAGTGCGTTCCACCAATTTTAAATACCGACAGACAGATAGACCCATTTTGGGTCTAATCAATGTCGTGCAATTTGGTGTATTGGAACACACCAAAAACGAAAGACACCTGAGCTTATATACTGTCCACCTAAGTCAACCGAGGCGAGATGTAAGGACATCACGTGATTGCCGCAATCGGTACATACTATGCTTTTTATTAGAAACTGTCAAACTGTTTAGTAAAATTACAATGCGTGTAGGATGTATACATATAAATTTTAAAATTACAACTTATCTTAGTGGATGCCTTGGAAGATTACTCAAATTGTTTTGGAAGATTACTCAAATTGTTTTATAATTTTGTATTGGTATACACTGATTTGTAATTTTGTTTTGCAAAACAATTGTAATTGTATACAGGGTTCGGAATTTAAATAAAATTACTTACCAAAATTTGCTATTTGAATTACAATAAGTGTTTGGAAATATACAATTCATTATTTATTTTATACAACTTCTGTTTGCATTTTTACTATACAAGGTGTCCCTAAACTTAGTGGCTTAAATTTAGGAGCAGATTAAGCAAGTCAAAATAAGACGAAAATCTAAATAAATGTTTTTCCTAATTAGGTATATTTAAAAGATACAGGGTGATAAAGTGTTACGTATCATATCAGTTTTTTAAATATAACTTCTACTATGGTAGTCTTGGAAACGTAATATTTTTCGAACAGTCACTTACTAGCAAAACACATATTCACAATACATAATTACAATTGTTTGAGTGAACACAGTGTCGTAGAAACGGGGGTTGCTTTAAGCTTATTGTCCCATACAAACTTTGAGGTTAGGTTTTTATAACATTTAATACAATTTTTCGATTACACAGTTCGGCTACCATTAAAAAGGTGTACCTCTCAAACTTCGATAAAATAAACCGTTTCCGAGATATTCGAGATTACAATAATTGTTATATCGCATTATTTAATCCTTTAAATGTAGGTATATGATAACAAATTTTATTTTTTAATTGAAAAAACTAAAAAGAGCATTCCATGAGCCTCGAGACTTTTTGCCCTCACTGTCACATTAAAAAAAATTGTAGTTTTTTCAATTAAAAAATTTGTTATCATATACCTTTTAGTCCTTTAACAATTATTGTAATTTCGAATATTTCGGAAACGGTTTATTTTATCGAAGTTTGAGAGGTACACCTTTTTAATAGTAGCCGAACTGAGTAATCGAAAAATTGCATCAAATTGTATTAAAACCTAACCTCAAAGTTTGTATGGGACAATAAGCTTAAGCAACCCCTGTTTCTACGACACTGCGTTTACTCGAACAATTGTAATTATGTGTGAATATGTGTTTTGGTAGTAAGTGACTGTTCGCAAAATATCACCTTTCCAAGTCTACCATAGTGGAAGTTATATTAAAAAAACTGATATGTTAAGTAACACCCTGTATCTTTTAAACATACCTAATTAGAAAAAATATTTATTTAGATTTTCGTCTTATTTTGACTTGCTTAATCTGCTCCTAAATTTAAGCCACTAAGTTTAGGGACACCTTGTATAGTAAAAATGCAAACAAGTTGTATAAAATAAATAATGATTTTTATATTTCCAAGCACTTATTGTAATTCAAATAGCAAATTTTGGTAAGTAATTTTATTATCTCAGTAAAATTAAATTCCGAACATGTATAGAAATTTTACAACATTTGAAATTCAATTCTATAATACAGAATTGTAAAATCACTATAAGTATCTGACAAAAACAAAAACATTGTTAAATTGCAACCTGTTTAGTACTTTGGCTATAACAAAATGTAATATTACAACAGAGGCGTATTAAAGTTGCAATACATTTTGTAATTTTACAAACAGTGTAGTTTTTGAGCTTACCATTGTAATGGTGATGGGTATCAAGCAAATTTATAAATTGGTGAAAATATTTTTAACACTGACCCAATCAAAGTTTCTATTGATCTTTTATACTTAATTTATAATCTTATCATTTGAATGATTTTAAAATAAAAAAAACATATTTCTGCGAAAAACACTACCCTTTGTCTAAACATTCACAATAATATTAAATTAAAACTTATATTATTATAATATAATAATAATAATAATATAATAAAGTATGTTGTGAATGTTAACAAACAAGTTTTTTAAGCTTAAATCCTTGATAATGAAAAAAACATCCGTCTGTAAAATGTTCCTGGAAGTAGTATCGACGAGGAAAAAATTAAAGTGTGTCACTTTCTTTGCAGGAATTCTTGCTGGCGATCGATGTCACATCCAGCGGCACTCCAGAGGAGAAACTGAAATGGGCTTTCCGCATGTACGACGTCGACGGTAATGGGGTCATCGACATACAGGAAATGACCAAAATTGTCCAGGTAAGAAATTACATTTGGACTTTTGTAGCCGGCCCTTACATCTGTTCCAGAAATGTCAGATCTGTCTTATGTCAAAGTTCAATCATACCAAAAAAATATCCTTTGATTTTTTCTTTTTTTTTATTATAAAATCATAAATTTCATACTCTGTAGAACATTTTAAAAGCCTTAAAAGTATTACATGGGTGAATCCCCCTAATATTTATACCTTTGTTTTGTGATAAAATTTGTACTTCGTTAAATAATTGTATGATAATTTGTTTTTGTGTAAATTACTAAAAAACAATAGGAAAACTATATTTTGATATTATCTTGTTTAGTAGCAATAGATTAAATAGCCCTCCTAAACAATGCTTACGAGATGTCATCAATTTTTTATATATTTTAGATTATAGTGCATATCAAATAATTTGTGTCTGTTGTTTTCAAAATTCATACTTTTTTGTTATTAAAGCAAAATTAAAATTTAAAAAATCGTAGGTATTTGTTATGAAATAAAATCACAACGACACGTTGTGTAAAATTAAATCAAATTTTAACAGAATTATAAAATATATACAATTTTTTCATAAGATCTCACTGTTGTTATGCTCCCCTTTATCTCTCTTGTTGTACCTATTGATAAATTTAAAAATACTCATATATTATATCACGAGAACTATGAATTTAATCGGTTAAACTAGGCTCAGTATACTATAGTTTTTTGTTTGGTTTTTCTTGAAAAATGTTGAATGCAAAATATGTTAATAAAATCACGAGACCGCGTAGCGGTCGAGAGGTTTTATTTTTAATTATTTTGCATGAAACTATTTTCCAAAAAAAAATCAAATAAAAAACTTACTGAGCATAGTTTGACAGATTAAATTTATAGGTTGAGTGATATACGTCTAGATTATTTCTCGAATTAAAGGAAACTATTTGACAAAATCTGACGTATGTGTCAAAATTTATAAATATTTTTTTAAAGAAAATTCCATTAATTTAAGGTATGTAATAAGTAATAATTGATATTTCGTAACTAGATAACTTATTTTTTATTGTTTTTTAAAAAATGTTTGTTAAAACTTGTAAATAACACCATAAAATCGTAAAGAAAAATCCAATATGGAGGCTAAAATTTAATCGCTGTTAAATAGTTCTAGTGATTTAATCGCTTATTTAAACGAAATTTATTCAAAAATTCAAGGCTTTTGATTGGTTCATATTATAATGAGGGAAATAATCATTATTAAAATCTTAAAAACCAAGTTCAATTCTTCCAGAAGTGTTGTTCAAGTCTAGGTACTTGTGACGTCACGCTGCACTTCTCCAGACCCAGTTTACATGTCACTAAAATTGCAAAGCATGCTTAATTTATTTTATGAATTTTCAGAAACAAAAAATTGCCAATTTTTCTTTGACATTATTTAAGTTTGAAAGGCTGTAATTCTAAAACTGATTTTTTAATATAGTCAATCCAAATGAAAACACCATGATTTTTTATAATAATGAAAAAATTTGAGGATGATCTTTTTGGTATATATGAAAAACCGTTGCCGTTTTAATTTTTAGTTGCTTTATTTTTAATCAGCACCCTTTAGAAACCTGAAATCGTGTCATTTTCTTACTCTCTTATAAGAGGCTAAAACTTTTTTCTGTGGCAATTATTTAAATGATTGTAATTCTATTTTACTGCCTAGTAAGTATGTTTTCAATATTAATTATTATTATCTAATTAGTTTATATCATAAAAGAATGGTAAACCACTAAAGATTTGTAATAATTTGCCAATTTTTGTGATTTTTGTCTGGCTCCTGTGCCTATTCTGCTAAATCTAGAAAGTTGCTTATTTTTAGGTATCAATTACTTATACAATAGAAAACGTAACGATTATTTTAAGTTTCTAGACTATCATTTTCTTTATTAAAAAAAAAAATATTGAAACTTGATAATTTTCAAAATTAGCCAATTTTGCCCTCAGAAATCATTATGCTGAGGAAAAAATAAAAATCTGAAACTTTCAGGAAATGTAGTCCCCACCTTCATATTTTCAGTCCAGTTAGTCTTGTTTTGTTATTTTTATCCATGTAAAAGATATAATAAATTTTTTAATGCAGTTTAGAAGCGATATTGCTAGTTTTATTTATAATTTAAAATTTAGATGGCTTTGACTTAGTCAATTCATGTTTGGTAGAGAAATGTCAGAACTGTCAAAAATATTTTACGAATATTATTTGTGCGTATTTAAATTGTGATTTCAAAAAGTTTGCAAGTTTGCAAGTGTAATAAATGACGGAGTTTTCGAGATTCATGAATTTAATTGCAATTAAAAATAAAAGAACATATCATAATTTTGTACCTCTTTCTCATAAAAAATATTCAAGTTCTGAGAAGTTTTAAATTGTTAAAAATAAGCAAAAACCAAAAAATATTCTAAATAAACCCCTTTATTATAACATGTTTTATTTTAACCAGTTACCTAAAAACTAAAATTTAAAGAAGTATTTACAGATTGTGTAAATTTTTTTCCAACACTAACATTTAAAATACATACATATAACTTTTAACTATTCAGTGCCTTACTAAAGGGATCAAAATAATAGAACAAGACTAACTTCGTTTAAATTATGAAAAAAACCGACAAAAATACATACAAAATATACAAAATTTACCAAAGAAATACGCACAAATAATATTTATGAAATATTTTTGACAGTTCTGACCTCCACCAAACATAAAAGCCATCTAAATTTTAAATTATAAATAAAACTAACAATATCGCTACTAAACGGACATTAAAAAAATTAATATATCTTTTAAAGGAATAAAAATAACAAAACAAGACTAACTGGACTGAAAAGATGAAGGTGGGGACTACATTTCCTGAAAGTTTCAGATTTTTATTTTTTCCTCAACATAATGATTTCTGAGGGCAAAATTGACTAATTTTAAGAATTATCAAGTTTCAATAATTTTTTTAATAAAGAAAATGATAGTCTAGAAACTTAAAATATTAGTTACGTTTTCTATTGTATAAGTCTAGATTTAGTAGAATAGGCACAGGAGCCAGACAAAAATCACAAAAATTGGCAAATTATCATGAATCTTTAGTGGTATTTTATGAGATTAACTAATTGGTTAAAAATAATTTATATCGAAAACACACTTACTGAACATTAAAACAAAATTAAAATCATTTCAATATTTGTCACAGAAAAAAAGTTCTGGCCCACTATAAGAGAGTAAGAAATTGACACGATTTCAGATTTCTAAAGGGTGCCGATTAAAAGTAAAGAATCCAAAAATTAAAACGGCAACGGATTTTTATATTTGAAACCTGAAGGATCATTCTCATTTTTTTTTATCAAAATAAAAAATCAAGCGGCTACTGATTCAATTAGATTAATTTGTACAGAATCAAGATTATTAATGTATGAAACTAGTTTTAAAATTTAAAAATGATATTTTGAATAGTTTTAAAAATAACTAAAAAATAAAATCGCCGCCACTGAACTAATTGAATTAAAATTTGTTAAGGATCAAGATTTATACCCCAAAAATATGGTGTTAAAATTTCATAATGATATCTTTATTAGTTTTTTTTTAAATGAATTTTGTCCACTTTTTTAAAATAGGTTTTTTAACTTTAATCATTTTCTCTCTTAAAATCGCCGCTACTGATTCAATTAAATTAAAATTTGTACAGTATCAAGATTATTAATATATGAAACTAGTTTTAAAATTTTAAAATTATATTTTTAATAGTTTTTAAAATAACTAAATTTTTAACTTGTTTTAGCAACATTTAAATCATTTAAACCCTTATAAAATTGCCGCCACTGAACTAATTGAATTAAAATTTGTAAAGGATCAAGATTTATACCCCAAAAATATGGTGTTAAAATTTCATAATGATATCTTTATTAGTTATTCTTTAAACTAATTTTGGCCACTTTTTTTAAAAAATTATTTTATTTCAGGCCATCTACGACATGTTGGGCGCATGCTCATCGAACCGGCCCGCCGATTCGGCGGAGGACCGGGCCAAAAACATTTTCGCCAAAATGGACGAAAACAACGACGGCCAACTCACTCAGGACGAGTTCCTTAAGGGGTGTTTGCAGGACGAGGAGCTGTCGAAAATGCTCGCCCCTTAATGCCATTAGAAAGCGGCCGAAAAACAAGCGGTTTTTCGCATCCAAATCCAAAGACTTTGTTTGTTGTTGTTGTTGTCGTTGGGTGAACGCACGCAAAAATATATAAATTTTACCGGTAAAATTCATCCATTTTCCATCGAACCATCCAGAGAGCATTTATGTCATAAAAAAGCGCAGGTCGTGCATGATTGGTTCAAACATCGATATATCGTCTAGTTTTTAGTATGGACTTTTTTATTTCAAAGGTTTCTCTTTATTGCGGATTAAAAACGGCCTTCATTATTTATTTCAGAGCCACTGATGATCAAGTCATAATATTATATTCTACACAATCTCAAATTAATAATAAGTAAGTTGTAAGCAGATGTACATTTTAATGTATCGTTGGTAAGTACCATATAAATGTTATTTATTGTTGTTTATCGTCTAGCACAAATGAGGAGCGTTTATTCAAAAAGGGACATGTCCATTTTAGCGATTTGCAGAAACAAGTCAAAAATAACAGAATTCTTTTGCTTTTGACTTATTTCTGAAAATCGCTAAAATTTACATGTCCCTTTTTGAATAAACGCTCCTCAAATATAAAACTAAATATCGTTTATAAAAAAAAACACCAAAAGTTAAAAGTGTTACATAAAAAAGACAATAACAAAAAAAAAATCCAGATTTTTTTGTATATTTTTAACATATTGCATATTTACTTTATTAATATTTAAGTAGCACAATCATTACGTCAAACTTATGAAACAACTAATTTAAGAAGTGATAATTGCCTTTATATTAACACAGCAAAATTTTTTGATAAGTTTAGTCAAGCGGCACAATATTGTTTTAGAGCTAGAACATTTTTGATATACATTTAAATAATTAACCAATTTTTAAAGAAACAAATTTAAAAAATACAATCATTAAGACCAAAACGAGTAGAATAATTGAACCGACAACAGAAAATCGCCAGAAATGCTTCAGATCCAAAAATTATTAAGGCAACGGCCATACCACGTTGAATATCGCGGTTGTTGTCCCAGGCAATACGTCTACCCGCCGAGAGGTGGCGCAAAATAACGGAACGTCCAATTAGATCGCTTTCAAAAGCTGACCAATTAGGCGCGGCAACTTGATTGATTGTTAAATAAATAAAATGTCAATTATAAGTCTATGTACGACCCCTTCCAATTTAAATCTAATCACTTTAGCGTGTAGTACTTCTAGATAATCAACATTCCATGGCGTAGCTAATCATTAGGGTTTAGTCGCTGAACTTTAGTGAGCGGTTGTTTTTAATCCGTAACAAAGATGGAAAACTGCGAATCAAATATCACCAAAAAAGAAACTAGAACCATGCGCATAGGTACGGCGGAACAAATGTTAACTTTCAAAGATTTTTTTGCGCATTAGCAAGTTAAACTTGTCTAAGAAATGTTTAAGAAAATTACTGTATGATATAATCTTTGATGTTGATGTTTGCTCTCATCGTACAATACAGCTTGTACTGCTCATAACCTAAAACGCATTTTTAGATTTAATGGATTACTACTTAATAAAACTTTAGCTTAGGATTAATTGTAGCTTAGGACCGTATACTTGAATTTTTTCAGTGCATGGATTTTGTAAGGCTCGAACAATTGATGTAGCAGAAAATTGTTTGAACGCACTCATAAATCTGTCTGGAAAAGTCGGTTTTGTGAAATAATGTCCAGTTTTTCATGAAATAGTCCTCCAAGACAGAATTTTTGCTACACAGTCGTTCGCAGCTAGCGGGTGTTTTGTACAGATTGTCAATGTTGCCCTGTTTTCTCATAGATGTTTTTATGAAATAATTCGATGTATTTAAGGTTTAAGCATATCATCGTCTAAGAAAAAAAATGATATTTTACACTAGGTCGCCTTTATTTCGAATTTAAGCGAATGACAATTTCAACTCTTGTGTTTGGTGGGATCAAGAGATTTCATGATTGAATTAAAAAAAAAAGGGATCAAGTCACATATCGGGTAAAAGAGTAACATAACCACCAGATCGAGAGCCTCTTTTTGCAGAATTTAAAAAAATTACAAACAATCTTTCAGCAAGTTTAAAAAAGGTAATATATAGTTAAACAGTCTTGAATTTTGCAGCTTCATTTCTATGAAAAGTGTTCTATTTAAAAAAATATAGATTTCTTAAAAAACTGTTTAGTTACAGAGGTGAATTAAATGATATGTTATAGACACCCATTGCCCTTGAACAGAACCACTTAAAACCGAATCAATAGTTTGTTAACGCGTATAAAAGATCATTATAATGATTGTGTTGGTTCAATGCGTGGATTAATTTCAAGTGTACAGTAAACTGGGCCAAAAAAATCTTTTTTTTTGTAAAGTATATCGAAAATATTGTTTGGGGTGACAAAAAAATTATTGTGAAAGTTTGAGTCCATAATATTAATATTATCACAATTTTAGATTTTTTTTTTCCTGGGCGAGTTTTTGTCTCAGAACTCCCAAACCATTAAGTTTAACAAAATTAACTTAAAAATATTTTTTAAATAAAATTGAATGCTCCACAAAAAAGGTCAGATGAACCATTTCCTTACAATCTTGCCTTAAAAATTGGTATAGTTTTAGAATTTGATCTTTTAACTTTCAAATTTTGTAATTCATGTAAAAATCAATACCCGGAAAAAAACGATAAATATACTTATGCGAACTTAAATGCTTTACAAAAAAGTCTCCTAACATTTTTGGCTAAATTCACTCCATCAAAAGTTATTTAAGGTTAAAGTACAGAGGAAAAAACAAGAATTTCGTTTTAACTTCAACTTTAACCTTGAATAACTTTTGTTTGAGTGATATTAGCCAAAAATGCTAAGATACTTTTTTTGTAGAGCATTTGATTTCCCATAAGAATATTTATCGGTTTTTTCCGGGTACTGATTACATGAATTACAAAATTCCAAAGTTAAAAGATCAAATTGTAAAACTATACCAATTTTTAAGGCATGATTTTAAAGAGACGGTTTATCTGACGAAAAATTTCATTTAGACCTCTTTTGTAGAGCATTCAATTTCCTTAAATAAATATATCCAAGTCAATTTTGTTAAACTCAATGGTTTGGGAGTTCTGAGACAAAAACTCGCTCAGAAAAAAAAACTAAAATTGCTTAATATTAATATTATGGACTCAAACTTTCACAGCAATTTTTTTTTCACCCCGAACAATATTTTCGATAAACTTTACAAAAAATATAGTCAATTTTTTTGGCCCACTCTAGTGTACAGTATTAAAATAACACCCTGTACGTGTTGATAGAGAGTTGTTTGTAATTTTTAACATGCCTTCGCAACCTAGTTACGTGTGCTTAAATCTAGGACATTTTTTACATACATTTTGCTATTAATAAATATGTAATTATTGGCACAACTCTTTCTCCCTCTCTTTTTTTAGTCACGACACTTTTTCGAGTGTTTTCCAAATGTTGACCTGTAAATTTTTAGGTCAGTTTCAATATATCATTTTTGTTGTGAAAAACTCAAGCGACTGCGCCATGCTGTCATATCAATATAAACCATTTTATTTATTATTAATATTAAAATAAAAAACTGGTATCTTTGAACCTGGCTTAGAAAGTATGTTTAATTTGTACCTAAATTGGCATTTTGGTGATCGGATCACTCGATTTTGTAATTGCGAGTTGTTTAGGATTGTCTATTCATATTTTTCTACTTGCACATATTGTAAGATATATTATGCTATATATTCTAGATGTTTATAAAAATTAAGGTTATATAATAATTAAAATTATACCCATTTCAGTTTAAGTCACTGAAACACGCAAAATTTTATCGTAACATCGGGCAAGTCGCGCTCTCATTTTTCTATAATATAATCTTTAATATTCCGCTTAAAAAAGCTTTACAGAAATGTATACCCACGCATACTGCAGCTGTTTCGCTTCTACATTGTTAAAGTGGCTATAACCTTCGAAACGACACAGATAACATCTAACATAACTAGCTGAACAGTTATAGTATTAATTCAATTCTTGAAAAAATGCAAAATATAACAAATATACAAAGTGCGTGCGCGGCTTGTCTGTATCACTTATGTAGGATTGTAGTCAGGATAAATAAGGGCCCGAGGCATCTTAGGAAAAGATAATTTTTTTGGATTTTTATCACATTAATATTATATGACAATTAAAAGATATACATATTTGGTTGTTTGTTTGTTTTTGTGTGCGTGTCTGGGTGATATTTTTCAGCTCCTAAAAATGTTATTAAAATAAGCTTTTGACCTTTTTTGTTCGCGATTGCGCCACCAGGGAGCGGCACTAAAGTTACGGCGAGGCTGACCGAGTCTAGTCATGGGGAAGCAGAACAGCAAGCTCAAACCTGAGGTTTTGGAGGATCTCAAGCAAAACACAGAATTTTCCGGTAAGAAAGATTTTTTATATTAATTTAGTTTTATGCACTGTAAAAAGTATTTTAACATAACATTACTTACATCAAAACGCAAACACCATAATTTTGTAAATTAAACATGGCACAAACAATTAAAAACTAAAGACTCACATAGTTCACACAGTTCAACACAATTTTCCCCCCATGAAAATTTTTAAAAATAATATAGGTTTTTTACCGTTTCACGAAATCACTTTAAATTTTTTATACGGCCATTCTAGTTATTTTAACCTATAAGTACAAATTTTAAATTCACTATTTTGTCATAAATCATTTTTGTATGTTTTTACATAATACAAAAATTATACTTAAAGAAAATAACAATTTTAATTTTTTTTTTAAGTAAAAAAAACATTTCTGGTTTTATTTTTGATTTTTTTGTAATAAAACAACAGATCTTATATTAAATATATGTTGGAAACAAATCTTGATATTTTAGTTTGACAATTGAGGAGTGATTTTTCAAAAGGCCTTATTTCCATTTTTACTTTAATGTAATTTTTTGACAAAATCCCAAAGGTATGGTTAAAAGGCATATATTAACGGCGAAATATGACAGCAGGTCTGAAGTATTATTAAATATTCATCAGATTTTTTTTTAAATAATCTATATTGCCCTAACTAAAATACGACCTTTTAAAAAATCACTTCTTAATTATACATTGCTTTAGAATCCATACTGGTATCACAACCTAAAAACACCACTTTATATACAGGGTGTTTCACATTCTTGGTCCATTGGTTTCTGGGGAACGGAAAAAGATATCGATTTGAAATTTAAAAGCGTTTATAATTTATTTTAGTCTACTTTTTAAAAACACCAACTTTGTTAGTTCAAATAGAACACCCCATATAATTTTACATTTTTAAATTCTAAAATTCTGAGTGAAATTACTATACCATGTCCTATACCCAAAGTGAATAGTTTTCGAGTTAAGCTGGGTTCTAATAGGGAAATAACGTAATATAATTTAATTTACTTGAGTTCATACAAAAAGTAACGTAATTATATTTAACAAAAGTGTTTGAAATTAAAAACAATATTTTAAAGAGAGTGCTTACTTCATGTATCTAAAAACTTAAAGTTTTTGATATACCTATGGCTTACTTTGGTAATTACAATCAAAATATTTGTCTTAATATTAAAACCGTTTACACAAAATAGGTTAGATTCTCCCAAAATAGGTTAGATTAGTAAGAAATAACCTTGAAATAACGTTATTTAATTTGAAAGATAAAAGTTGACCAACTATTAAATTAAGTCTTAATTAAGTCTTAAGTTAAATTAAGTCTTAAGTTAAATCACTGTATGAACGTTACAAAGGATTCTTGGGTTTTTAACTTTTAAGTTAAATTAAATTACTTTTCTGTTAGAACCAGGCTTTATTAATTTTTTTCGTTAAAATTTGACAAATGCGCGTCAATCAAAAATAGCCTATAGGTTTACGGATATGGGGGTAAAATTTTTGGAATCTTAAAGTATTGTTTAAAAGATGTCAATTCTTTAACATTTTTTTTTAATTTTAAATAGCAAATTAAAAAACGTTTCGTTCCTCAGAAAGTTTCAATGGACCACGAACGTGAAACACCCTATATAATTAAAATAATTTTAATGGTTGTCCATTTATTCAGTGAATAACTTTTTCTTAAAAATATAGTCTAGCTGTTATCGAAGCTGTATAACATTTTATTGTATCGCATCGAGACACGGTATCATTTTCAAAATCTATAGGAATTTTTCATGGGAGGGAAAAAAATTTTGTCGTACTGAGTAATATAAGGGTAAAACTACAGACAGGTTTGAAGTGCAAGGTCCATTAAAACTTAATCGTAGTTACACTGAAATGGCCTTTAAATTAAGCAATTTGCAATTCAATTTGATAACTTTTGCTCCAGCAATAACGTGCCCCTTGTAAGGCAGAGCGCTTTAGTTTCCTATTTTAAAAGGATCACTTTAAACTTTTTATCACCATCGCGAGATTCTTAATGCAAAACAACATCGATTTTTTACGGGCAATTTTGCCAAATGACCCAAAAATTTGACCCTGAAGTGTTTATTACACTTAAATGACGTCAGCATTACCAACTTTAAATTGTAAAGTTACTGCCGTTAAATTTGCTTTTTTAAGGCGTAACTCTGATGTGTTATAAAAAATATCAATTATTTGCGTATTGTTTGCCAAGAACTGTAACAATTTGCCTGTTTTAAAACGGTTTTTTACGAAATTATGACAATAAAACCATTCACTTAGTAATTTTTGTGTGTGCCAGTTGCTGATAGCTTAAGGCTGGCGCGCACCGTTCAATATTATTGATGGGTCACCGTCATTTTGAATTTGACGTTTTTTTGTAATTTTGACATTTCTTCCGTAAGCATTGTTTGTTGTAGATTATTATAAATAATGTTATACATTGTGTTTATCATATTCTACCACTCGATTGTGCAAACAATGTTACAAGGCTTGTCGGCAATGCCAGCAGTTATTAGATTGCGAATACATAGCGCCCTTAATACATTTGGGGCAATAATCAGACTTTTTTCTTCCCGTAAAAGATGAACAATACAATTCCGTACGGGAATCTATAACTACGGTTTTCATTGTTTATCTTTTACGGGAGGGAGGAAGGAAGGAAGATAATCTATAAATCTAGCTTAAGAACAATATCCCTAAATCGTTCTATTTTTTTAATAATATTTTAACAAAAAATAATATAAACAATATTACAAATAAATTAACTTTAATTTAGTTTTTACAACAATATTAAGAAGTAGGTAAATAAATAATAAAAATAACATAACTAAATTAAAATTGAAAAGTGAAATAGCTGCATATTTAAATGTCTTAAGCTCTTTCCAAGAATTTTCAACAGCATTCCGTAGTTCATTTTGATTTGCTGGCCTAAAGTCCCATTGATATAATTTTTTAACTATAAAACCCCACACGTTTTCAATGAGGTTTAAGTCAGGACTTCTAGCTGGCCATGGCAAAACAGTTATTTGTAAATTTTCAGGGATTTTTTTTTGAACATTTTCAACAAGATTTTGAGTTGGGAGCGAAAAAATAAAAATAGTCGTGAAAAAAAAGCACCCTAATGTACATATAAATTAAAAATGTAGTAAACTCCTTTTGTTTTATCTATAAACACATGGAATACAAATTTGTTCGTAACAAACTCCTAATTAGTTATTGCAGAAAATTATAACAATAAGAAGAACGCTGACGTCTAGAGATGCGACTTGAAAAAAAACGGTCCGTTTTTTTTGTTTTTTTTTCAGTTTTTTTTTCATTGTTTTTTTTTTTCAAATGGTTTTTTTTCACATTTTAGGTTTTTTCAATATTAGTCCCATTTGCATAATTTTTTGTTTCCAGTCCAGTTCATGGACTAAAATTAGTCACTAAATGACAATTAGTAAATGTAAATACAGTCTCGCGCTATGCCGAATTGACCAATAGGGGCCGCACTTGATTTTTCAAAAAGCTACCAAAAGCACTTTTTTCATGATTTTCCAAATACATGTAGAGTATGGATTTTTTTTTAAAGAATAACAAATTCTTGTAGAACATGTATTCATTGGTGGTTAAGTCAGAACATTCCGTGGACCAGAAAGCCAAAAAAATTCGATTTTTTTATTACGGTATTCGTTAGGATTGAGCGTTGTACTTTTTCATCTAAAAATCTCAAAACTAGAAACTTCAAGCTTCATATTGCTTTTTTTACGACCATTTTTAACAAAGATCTCCAGAATCGCAAAACATTTTTTTATCCTTTAATTTTTTTGTATTAGTATAGAAGTTTTACATTGGTATTGGTTTCTAATTTGGAAACTACCAAATAATAAGAAATCAGATTTTTTAGTCTCGGTCAAAATTTTCAATAATGAAAAATGTTATATATTCTACCTTTCTTTCTAGGTTTTTTTCATGTATTTTTTACATATGAAAAAATCGTTTTTTTACATCTCTACTGACGTCATAAACCGTTGATGACGGGCACCCATGCAGATTTGGCCGCGACTGTATACTATTTTAACGGTTAAACTAAAAAAAAAATGTTTACCTTTTTAGACGCCGAGATCCAGGAGTGGTACAAGGGTTTCTTGAAGGACTGCCCCAGCGGCCACCTGTCCGTGGACGAGTTCAAAAAGATCTACGGCAACTTTTTCCCTTACGGCGACGCGAGCAAGTTCGCCGAGCATGTTTTCCGCACGTTCGACGCGAACGGCGACGGCACCATCGACTTCCGGGAGTTCCTGTGCGCGCTGAGCGTCACCTCCAGAGGCAAGCTCGAGCAGAAGCTCAAGTGGGCCTTTTCCATGTACGATCTCGACGGCAACGGCTACATATCCAGGCAGGAGATGCTCGAAATCGTCACGGTAAGTTCTGTCGTCACTTTCGTACATCCGGCATCGCTGTAGATGCGTGTATCGACGACTAGTACGTGTGAGTAGATACAGAAAGCCGATTCTGCACTTTCTGAGCCAGAATCGGCTTTGTATACCTACTTGTAAGTGCGGGGTTTGCATGTACTATGCTCCACACCTCAAAGTCCCACCACGTGACCACGTACGGAACGCAGTCTTTTAAAAATTTTGCATTTAAGGCTTTTCAGGAAATAATATTATTTTTAGGCGTTAAAAATGTATAAATCTTTATAACATTACAATAACAATGGATGGTTTAAGAATTTAAGAATATAAATACTGCATTTAATGAAATTCTAAAGTGTATGGTGCCAAATAAGTAATATTTTTGTGCATTTGGTCCAAATATCTGGTTTTCTCCATAAAATAATTTTAACTGAACAGCATTTATTTAAAAAAATCTAGCTTCTCTACCCAGACAGCATCCAATTCAGAAAGATTTCTGTACGAAGTCTGTTGAAAAACATCTTACCGAGGTCACAATATGACATCTTAGAGAAATCATTTTTAGGAGCTCAAGATTAAGAGTTCTTGATGAATTCATAAATGAGAAGTCCATTTTTTAACATCTTAAAGTATCTTTTTTTCTGACCTCTTATTGGAATCAAAATTAGAAGCTACTAAGGGTATCATAAATAAGACTTCAGTTATATGATATCTTACAGTATTCTCTTCTCTTACTTCTTACTGAAATCATATTATTAACTCTTTAAGACGTCAACATGGAGACGTCACATTTATGACATTTTAATGCGATTTCTTTCTTCTCACCGCTGTAACTGCTTGTGTTTGATATAAGAAGCGGCGAAGTAGAATTTAGAGCGTGCTCCATACCAAACGGTCTTAGACCTAGGTAAACAGCTACCCGATACTGACGAGCTCCAAAAGAGCGTCTATCGGTGCCGGTAAAGAGCACGCTTGAATTTAAAAAAAAGTGAGACGAAGTAGGTAATCGCGATTCCAAAAATAAGGAAATTCGAGCAAATTATTAAAATGATTTTAATAAAATCAATTTAACAAATTCGTTTGTTTTATGGTAATTAAACTTTACATGTGAAAATAAGCAACGTAATTTTTTTATCAGTACCCTAGTAGTACTTCTATATCTAAAACGGGAAATTCTAAATAAGTATTTTTATAAGTTTATACAGTAGGACTCTTTAAAATGCTTAATTGCGAAGTCAAAGAAAAGATATCCTCAAGAGTTCTTTTTTGAGAAGCCTTGATTAGTTAAGTAGGTGGCGCATTCGAAGTCTTAAGAACTTCTTAAAAACTTCTTTCTGATGTTGTTTTTGACGTCCAAATCATAAAATAGAGCTTATGCAGACTTAATTAAGACGTCATAGTGCTGTCTGGGTATGGAATAAGAATATCTGTTTTAAAGGTAGGTAATTTATTATAACAAAAATATCATCTAATTTTGTAATTTTAAGGTTAAAAAAATTTATTTTGACCAAAATAAATTATTAAAAGACTGTATAATATGGTATTTAAAAATGTAGTAGTGTTTCTTATTCAGCGTAAAGTGTACCTACTTACATAAAGTTTTTTCAATACAAATAGTTAAAAAGCTTCGACTGAACTTGATCTACATCGAAAAATCATTATAACTTTAAAATTTTTAATAAATCACATGTCATGGGAGTATTAAATATTTTCACATTGCAAGTTTCTCTAAAAATTGTTTGTTTTCTTATAATCTAACTTAAAGTAGGTATGCCGAGAGGTATGCACAAGTTTTGTCATTAGAAGTATAAAAGCTTCAATTTAATTTGAACCATATTCAACAATTATTTAGTATACCTATATTTATTTATGACCATATTAACACACTCTTCCAAATAATTCACTTATTTATTTTGGTCAAAATAGATTTTTTCTAACCTTAAAATACAAAATTAGATGATATTTTTTGTTCTAATACATTAACCTACCTTTGATACAGATATTCTTATTTCATAATAAAGAAGTTAGATTTTTTTTAATAAATGCTGTTTAGTTAAAACTATTTTATGGAGAAATGTAGACCCAATGCACAAAAATATCACTTATATTGCACCTTACACTTTGGAATTTCATTAAATGCAATATTTATATTCCAAAATTCTTAAACCAACCATTGTTATTGTGATACTATAAAGATTTATTAACTTTTAACGCTTAAACATAAGCGGTAACACTATAAATATTATTTCTTTCATTGACTATACTTTGACAGATACATAACCTGAAAAGCCTTAAATGCCAAATTTTTAAAAGACTGCGTTCCGTACGTGGTCACGTGGTGGGACTTTGAGGTGTGGAGCATAGTACACTACCGATTGACAGTCTCCTTAATCTATCTCTCTTTTTAATCAAATCAAGTGGACTGTTCTGCACTTTGTTCGACTTAAAAATGGATATTTTTATCACACTCAACTGTTTATTTAATGAAAAATAATCCCGACGATTAAAACTTTCACAAATTAGTTAATTAGTTGGTGAACAAATTAGGAAATTACGTCACGCTTTCCGCAATAAACTTTTAATTCACCTTTCCACAAAACTAATAATATTATGTATTATAGCGCAAAACTTTTAATTAAAACATGCCTACAAATTACTTTAACACCTCAATAAAACCAACAAAAACGCAGGTGACTTAATTTAATTAAAAAAAATAAACGTGACCTGAGTTTGTTATATTTTCGTTTACTGTTGTAATAAAATTAGTTTGGGTTTAGAGATTATAAAGATTTTAGTAAACAAAAAATTTAAAAAATCTGGTCTTCAATTTAGTGAGATAAAAAATGTCAAAGTTGAGAATTCACTTGTTTGTTTTTCGGAATTTTCAAAAATGCATGATTTTATGTGGGTGATAATAGTACCCGCTAAAACAAGAAAGTTTTTCCTTTATTATTTTTGTATTAGTGACATTTTTTTAATAAAAAAATTATCAAAATTTTTAAAAGTAAAGTCGAAATTTTGGGCCGCTACTGGTTGTTCCTGACCAATGGCAACTGACGCAAAATATGCATGCACAGTGGGCAATAATCTACATTCATTAAAAATTTCACATTTGTGGATGACAACTTATTTGGTGAATGATTTTACAACTTAATCCTTTTTTGTTGCTAAACTGTGTGAAGTCTAGGGTTTTAAAGTGTAGGAAAAAAAACGGAAAAATTGGGGAAAACCTAAAAAATTGGGGAAAAATCTAAAAAATTGGGGGAAAATTGGGAAAACACGCTGTTTTTTTTTCGTTTTTTCCCAGGCCTTGGAAAAATTGTCTTTTTTAGGAAAAATTTAATTTTTTTGTTTGTAAAATATACTCATTTGAAAAAAGTAGCAATCAACAACTTATTTTAATTATTAATTTAAATAAAATATCCTTACAGGAAAAAAAAATTAAATTTAATTAGATTGATTTAAGAAAATAAACTTAAACATCAAATATACTGTCGGTTGGGTATTTTTGCAAAAAGGAGTCCATTGAAAATATCCAATTACAAAATTAAAATTTTATAAATTGAAGTGTCAAATAAAACAGCACCTAATACGTTTTTTTTTTCGACCCGATACAATATTCTAACTAAATTAAAATAAAAGGAATAATTATTATAATCATAATCATCGTCAGAAATTCACTTTTTTCTCGATATCAGTGTACGGATAGTATCCATAAAAATTTGAACTTGCATTTTTTCGTAACCCTTTGAATATAATTAAAAAAATGCCAAAGTCAATTTTTCTGAAAATTTCTCAATTTTTATGCTTTTTTCCCGGAAAAAAACAAAAACTGTTTTTTTCCGCCGGCTCAATTTTTCAGGAAATAATAAAATCCTAGTGAAATTGGGAGTGGCCTGACTAGGGTATTAAAATTTCCCGAAAAATTGAGCCGCCCGAAAAAAACGGAAAACTTGTAAATTTTCGGAAAAATTAACTATTGCATTTTATTCAAAAGGTTATGCTAAAGTTAATTTTTTTGAAAATTTAACGTAAAAAAAGTTTTACGCACTGATATCGTTATTTATAATATTATGAGGAATGTAATAAATATTCCTTTTATTTTAATTCAGTAAGATTATATATTTTTTTCTACTTCCACCTTTATACGCCCATTATCGTTTCCATGTCACTAAGTGAACTTTTAAACACACATTGACAATTTATGGCGTTTTAGTCAGGAGCTGAAGTTTGCAACAGGTTTTTAGTCACGGGTTGAAGTTTGTACTAATTTAGTTGACAGTTGTCAAATGTCAAACAATCGTTAAAATAAAGTACCTTTCTTGTAAAATAATACTGCATGTGAACATTATTTTATTACCTTAATTCAAATATACTAAAGTATTAAATAGTTTCTCAACGCCAATATTTAAAAAGTTAATATGAACATATGTTGTATACATATATATAACGTTGTATACGTATATAACATATTGTACTGACCTTTTAATTTCGCCGGCACTAAACTACATTTAACTTAAATTCGGGCTCGGACTCAACTGTGAAGTTCTCATAAAACATTTTCTTTACTTTCAATGTTGAGAAACTGTTGCACGGTTAATTTTATAGACGATTTCAGAAAAAAAATATATAATCATCGAAACTATTGTTTTCGGGTTTATCCGACTTCCAAGTAACAGGAAACATGAGAAATAAAATCCTTCATGTATGGCATTCTATATAGTGGCCCAAAAATATGTCAAAATTTTGAAATTTTTTGTAAAAACTAAAAATTTTAAATTTTAAAAAAACTTCCTTTAATGATAATAAAGCGTTTAATTTTAAGTAAAAAACGTCTTATAAAGTTTTCTGTAGACGCTATAGTTTTGTTATAAAAAATTTCTGATTTTTTTTTCTTCACAAAATAATACATATTAAACATATTCAATTAACTTAATAGGTTTTAATGTCCAAATAAATACATGTAATTATATGTGCTGGCTATTATAATAACAAATACTCCTTAACAGTTTTTTTTTTTAAATTGCAAATTCCTTGAATTTAAATTAAAATTTTTTGAAAACGTTAAAATAGTGATGCACTTGTTCTGACGCTTGTTCAGAAAAAAGGCAAGTGCTCGTTGATATTTTTCAATGAACTCTGGAACATGATGAACTAGGGCATGCATTTTTGTTGTGTACCGTACTCCGACTTTAGATAGTTCTACTGCGAAACGTTGAATATTTTCGGCATAACTTATACTTAGAGATTTCCCAAAGCAACTGGAAACAACTTCGTCAAAATACTTAAACAAATTGAGGTATTTGTTTCCTAAAACCATATGTATAAACTTTAATACATTAAAGACGAATATATATATCGCACATGGGAGACAACAGTGTCATAAGTTTTTTATTATTTTATCGTTGAATAAGAATATGACGAACGTATGACTGGCCCCATCGCCAACGCCTTATACTGATTTCCCAGGGTTATTTTACCCCCTTTTAGTTCTCCCACGTATCCCGCCACTGCACAGCATTGCCTGTGTTTGGTGGAGCCGAATTTTTACCCTGGCTGGTAAATCTCGCCTAGAAGGCCGTAAATGACAGTGTCGATGGTTAAGGCCTCTTAAAGAATTTTTTCGCCTAGTCCGCTAGTGGAGTGCGGAAAAGGAGGGAAAATATTTTGGTTTTTGAGGGACATTGACCTGACCCAAAACCAAGTACAATCCAGGTAATACTGAGACCATCCATCCTGGATTAAAGCAATGGCTCTGGAAACATCAGTCGGAGACATATTCATTTTTAAAAGTAAGAAAACACCTCAAAAGTAACACATTAATTTACAAAAAAATGTCCAAGTATGGGATGATTCAACAAAACAATCACTGTCATCCTTCATAGGCTATGGGTGGACCATAGCAACCTTAGTTCTTCGAACAAAAAAATATTGGAAAATGCAATGTTGTTTTGCCACTTTACAGAGTGTCTTAAACTTATGGTAAAAAACATCTTTTTGTTTAAACCTGTATATTATAAACGTTCGTCTATTTTTAGTAATTTTTTAAAATGTAAGCGATTCTCCATTAATTTATCCACAATACTGTTTAATATTCGTTTAAATCCGAAATCAAATAAAAAAGTTATTTGCGATTGAAATTCATCGAAAATTTGTGTGGATCGATTATTTTGCCTGTGAGTGTAAGTAAGATTTTTATTTAGAACAAAACTATAGGATCTACAAAAAACTTTTTGAGACGCTTTTAACTTAAAATTAAACGCTCTATTATCCTCGAGATTATCCTTAAAAAAAGTTTTTTTTTAATTTAATATTTTTAGTGTTTAGAAAAAATTACAAACTTTTGTCATATTTTTGGGCCACTATCTAAAATGCCCTACATGAAGGATTTTAATGTTCATGTTTCCTGTTACTTGGGAGTCGGACAAACCCAAAAACACAATTTTCGATGATTATATATTTTTTTTCTGAAATCGTCTATAAAATTAACCGTGGTTGTTAATCCATTTTCAAAGAATACATTTCGGTTTATAACCTTTATAATCTGTGTTTATAACACATAAAAATTTGACATTTGACGGTAACACAGATTCCAGTATTGTTTTATAGATGGCGCTCTATACAAATATTTGATTTAAATCATTTTAAGATAATAAAAATAAGTATTTGTCGTAGAAAAAGTATAGTATGTAACTCGTTTATAAACTTTTCTAGACATAATATTTTATTTTCTACCGGGCCGCAAAAAAAAACATACTCGGTGCTGTTTTAACATAACTTTTGTATTATTTGACACTTCGATTTATAAAATTATAATTTAATTTTATAAATCATTCATTATTTTGTGATTGGCTATTTTCATGTTTATTTTTATTTCTGTAAGGATATTTTTTTTTAATTAAAATATTGTTAAGCTGTTGATTGCTATTTTTTTCAAATGTGTATATTTTCCAGAAAAAAAAATCAAGTTTTCCCAAAAAAGCCAATTTTTCGAAGGCCTCGGAAAAACGAAAAAAAAAACAGTTTTTTCCCAATTTTTCCAGTTTTTTTCGACACTTTAAAACCCTAACCTAAGCTGACTTGAAAAAACGTTCAACGGGACTTTTTTCAGGCAATTTACAAGATGGTGGGTTCGGTGATGAAAATGCCGGAGGACGAGAGCACGCCGGAAAAGCGCACCGACAAAATTTTCCGGCAGATGGACCGCAACAAGGACGGCAAGTTGAGCCTCGAGGAATTCATAGAGGGCGCCAAAAGCGACCCATCCATCGTGCGGCTGCTGCAGTGCGATCCCCAGGCGCAGTAGTGCGCAACTAAAAAAAAAAACACCCGGTCCAGTTGATAAATAAAAAAAAATTAAGACTTGTTCATCCAATGGTGTGTATCAACCACTCGTGTGTGATTGCGGGGTTTGTCGGTACTTCCCGGTCCGGTAAATTAAAAAATGATTAGAGATGTCGGGCCGCATCTTTACGACCGCGGATTGTTACGCTCCCCTCGCATAGTTTTAGATAAAATATTTAATCCTAATTTAATTTTAGCGTTACGAACTTACCTATTAAGCATTTTCTCTTATTGGACGTGAACCTTTTCAATTCAAACTGCGTGTCCGAAATTTTTAGGGTTACGTTTCTTCAACGTTTTTGTGTGGCATTCTTCTCCATTCTACTCCAAACAAAATTCGATCTTCGAGGAGGACGTACATATCTCGTTCAATTTTATTGTAAATACATCACCTTTTGACGAATACTAACCTGCGTAGTTGTAGCTAACGATTATTAACGAGTACGTCGTACTCAGTACAAGTCTTATGATAAGTTGTTTGAATTGAAGTGGGCTTGTTAAAAAAAATACACAACCTGAGGATTACTCTTTCTCTTACTACGATCCCAAAATATATCGATTGAATGTTACTGTTTGAAGAATAAATAAATTTTATGTAACTTTGATGAAGTTGAAAGTAGATGGTCTGTATTACTACAGCATATAATTATTAAATTTTGGTGCTTTATATCGAAATTTTCGCGGTCGGCGGCCATCCCATTAGCTAGGTATGAATTCTAGAATCAGCAATTTAGGCGATGAAGTTTTTTGACCGTCGGGCCGCGCAGTTCGCCTTCACCTGCCTCTTCTTGATCCCGATTGAAAAAATTAATAAAACGGGACTTTTCGGTAATACACCACGTAAACTGCAACGCAATTCGTTTTGTCGTTTGCGTGTTGTTCTGCACTTTGTTTCGACTTAAAATGAATGCGTTCGCCAAATTCTCGTCCTCCAGATCTGATCCTTTTTCCGGTCTCAACTGTTTCGCTGTTTACAAACAAAAAAGACAAGAAGCAAAAGACAGTTAAATGTTAGTGCTCGATACAATAGTATACTACAGAAAACAGGCGTCAATATATTCAGGATGGACTGCAAAAACGATCAGACTGAATAAAAAACAATACTGAAGTTATTGCAAGAAAAGTATTGGTCGAATTGCGGTTTTAAGAGTGAAGCAAAAAGGCCTAACCAATGATTTTAAGTAAATAGGTAGGGTTTTTGAAATCGTTCCACATGGCCATGACACGAAATTAAAATTAAAAAAAACTTGAAACAAAAGCCATTTTCATAAATGTCTGATCTTCCCAAGTACTTGCACGAATGTGGTTTTGATTATCAATACTTGTCTACTTCATGTAATATTAAAATAAAATTGCTGACGCATTAATCAAAAATTCGTTTTATTTTCCTTAACATTTCAGGAACGTATTTTATAAAACTGCCTCTAATTAAAACAGTAAGTATTTTTTAAAAGTTTTTTGGCAGAAAATATGAAACGCTTTCAAACGTATTGGGAGAGCATGAAGTAGCAGAGGTTATGTCATTTATGTTGAGTATTTTTTCTACTCCCACCTTTAAAACGTACATGTTTCCATGAAATTAAGTGACCTTTCAAATACAGATTGACAAGCTGTGGCTTTATGGCGCTTTAGTCACGGGCTGAAGTTAGTTTTAAGTTAGTTGACAGTTGTCAAATGTCATACAATCGTTAAAATAAATTGCCTTGTAAAATAATACTATATGTGAAAATTATTTTATTATCTGAATACAAAAGTATCAAATGGTTTCTTGACGCCAATATTTAAAAAGATTATGTGAACGTTTGTACCTTTTGATTTCGCCGTAGTATACTATAGTGCAATTAACTAGATTTAACTGATAAAGCGTTAAAAATTTTGCGTACAGTGCCCATAAAACATTATCTTCTCTTTTACTGTGAAAAACTGCTTTTATATCGATTGTTAGTCTATTTTCAAAGGATAAATTTTGATTTACAAAGAAAAATTTGAGATTTTAACGCCGGTAGATTCCCAAGTTAAAAAGTCTTCTCTTTTTGTATCTTTAACATTTCCCGTGTAAGAATTTTTAATAGTTTGTGAAAATATTTTGCAATTATATTAATAAAAAAAAATCAAAGAATAAAATATTTTCTTCACGTTATCATATTTTGAAGTTATTTTAATATTTTAAAGCATCAATAATTGTTAAGTTTAATCAAAATAAAAACGGGCAATGTTAATGGTGAAAATTACGTCAAAAATGTTTATTAGGAGGTTACTTTACTTTCGTATAGATGTCGCTTTATACAAATATTTAATTTAAATTATTTTTTAGATAATATTAAGTGTTATATACATATTTTTGAAAGTTTTTTTTTTAAATTTTATCATTTATTTCATTTAATTTCACCTTTAATAAAAATTGTTCTAAACTTATCAAAATTTTATTACAAAAAAATTGCATAAAAATGTGTTTATCAAAATTTTCGTTCAAGTCTAATAAAGTACTAAAACAAAAATGTTGGATTCCTAATTAATGAATAGCATTTATTTTTGTTATCCGGTGCATTTTGCCCAGTCGCGGCATTTTTGAAACAAAATAAATGAATATTCTTAAAAAATTAAAATAAAGAAAATTAGATTCAATTTTTAAACCCTTATAAATCTAAAACTATTTGTCAGAATAATTATTTGTTATTTTTTTACTTAAAGTAACCCCTCCCCCACATTGTATTAACCAAACAAAATTTTTTTATTAACCAAACAAAATCGTCAAATAATTATTTTTTTAATAACTCGCTATAATTGCAAAATACGTAAAAAAACGCAGCCGTCTATTCTGGGTTGCCTACATTTTACGTAGACAACCCAGATTACACATGCATGTAATTCTGGTAATTCACTTAGTGAATTTCACTATACAGCTATATGCATATAGTTTAACATAAAACAAACATTTCTTTTAGACGTTTAAAAAAATAAAACAAAGACTTCATACCAAAAGTTTATTAAGTGTAACGTATCGAAAGTATTACAATATTTAATAAAAATTTAGTACAACAGTGCTGCATAGCGCCTGTTAAAGTTATGCTTGAAATAGTAGCTGTGAAAAACTCCGCTTAGTTGAGACCTGGTTACCAACTTAACGTCTTCCAAATATTTATCAAACGATTCCAACCTGTTGATTGGGTCCCTTCTCGTCCTTAGGATCCTCTCGGCCCATGTTTGGGGGCGTGGTATCGATTCCCTGTAACCTTTTTGTCTCCTGTCCAGGGTATGAAGAACGTCGTTGTAGTAATTTTGACGGTATTCGTAGATGTATTTGTATTGCATAAACGTCGGTCTAAAATAAAATAATTTAAGTTAGTTGGCCACTAATCTACTACTCTAGAAAAGTTTATTGGTAAACAAGAAATAATGTATTACCAATTTATTTAAACATTTGCATAGAGCGACATCTATACATAAATAAGGTAACAAATTGGGTGTTTGGAATCTGCTTTGCCGACTTTTAAAATGGCTGTGTTGGTTTGTCAAATTTGTCTGTAAAAATTGGAATTTCTCCCTTAATAATGGACTGTTTGGATCCGATAAAGAGCAGTGAAAGTGATTAATGGGTACTCTACAATATAAATATATCTTTTTAACATTTTTAAACTCTAGGCACGGTGTGAAACCTAATTTTTTTTTATATTTTTGTTAATTAGGTCATAACTAAAATTTTAAGAGCAAAATAAAAAAAATTTGATGGTTTGAATTGTTTTAATTGGCTGTTTATTAAACTCTTTCAATTATCCAATTAAAAGGAGCGATTTAATTTAAATATTTAATATTTGCATAACCAAAAAAAAGGTTTTTACAATTTTTTTTATATATTTGTTGCAATAAACGTTCAAACTTTTAATCTAACTTTTGACGTATACATTTATGTTCCCTTAATTAAGATGACCAACTATTTTTTGTTCAAAAAGAGTACACTTTGCAAGTACTTCATAGGTGAAAAAAAAAACGATAAAAACCCTATTTTATTTTAAAAACATATTTTTCTTCAGGGTGGATTTTTTTTGCTAAGTGAGGATGTTCATCTAATAATGTAGCCACATCCGAACAAATTTCATTTTGCATATTAAATTTGACTGCTAAGACGGCAGATAATGTTTTTACAGAAAGTTGCGACTTCTCACTGCTCCAATAATCATTCCCTAGTGAAAATAACCTTTCAACAGCAGCATTAGTGCCTGGACAACATAAGGAAATTTCTATTAAAACTTAAATTTTCATGTGGGATATGTTCTACTCTAAAATGCCGAAAGATTTCTACCCATCTTTTGTTAAGTTCTATTTTCTCATCGGTCGTTGTTAGAAAAAGAGGTCTGTAGTATCCATAGATTTCTTTTTAATCTATGGTAGTATCTATTATCTCTCCAGGTACATAATACGGCCTCTCAATTGTGCCGGAAACGGCAGCAATATGCGCGCGTGAAATTTAAATCACTGTCAAAATAATTTTAAATATTTAATTATTAAAATTGAAATAAAATTATCTAAAAAAATGTTTTAGAAATACAAATGAGTATAAAATTATACAAATGAGTACTTTCAGAGTACAGGATTTGAAAAGAGTACGGTTTGCGAAAAAAGAGTACAAAACTCAGTAAATGAGTATAGTTGGTCACCTTACCTTAATTAATATAGGTATCCTTAAAGGTTGCCATGAAACTTAGATCTATTAAAAATTTATTTGACGTTTGAATTGTCATTTTCAGTATACGTATTCTATAATTTTTGTTTAGTTTTTTAAACAAAAATGAAAAATTGTAGTAAAAGTTCCGAAGAAATTCATGAAATTTAACTAAGGACCGGTTTATTCATCTTTAGTAAAGTTTATCGGGCCGATAACTTTCATGTCTTGGCAATATCTAGTATCCAAAGAAAGTATTCGTCAAATAAATCAAAAATGAATAAATCGGCCCTAAATAAAATGTGGCACCCTTAGAATTATTGTTTAATAAATGTATAAATTATTGTTTAATAAATGTATACTATACATTTAACCTTAAATTAAAACTTTAAACGTGTATTACAACAAAACAGTAAAAGATATAAAAAATGTATAGACCTTTTTTTAGGAAATTAACTAATCTTTAATCTGATTTAAAAAGTTATGATAATATTTAAATAAAATCGCAAGTTTTAATTGGAGAATTGAATGTGTGCATACATATTTTAATAAACATCCAATTAAAACAAAATTAATCGTCAAATTTTTTTTATTTTGCTCTTAAAATTTTAATTATGACCTAATTAACAAGAATATAAAAAAAAATTAGGTTTCACAGAAAATCCAAAAATCACCTCTCAGAACAGCACCGTGTAGGAAACGACATTAGGATCTTTTTGTTAATATTGTATTACCTTTATAAGTTAATTAAAAATAATTACCTTGCAATTGTGAACAATTATTTTTTTCGCAAAGCGTGACTTAAAATGTTTGCCAAAGCCTTTGGCCCAAAGGTGTCAAGTTTTCGGCAAGGCGCAAAATTATAACAATAGACAGGTTTACAATAGCCAAGAATTGTTTATCACGTAACTTCTTTGGTGTAGTTAATTTTGGATGTGCCAATTTCATTCTATTCTAAAAAGTTAATACTTCATTTTCATTGGGTTTAAGTTTATTATTATTTCCTATAAACAATTTTATAAAAAAAAAGGGTTATACTTTAATTAAGGTTTATCAATACCTACATAAATACTTGTAAAGATGGCGTGTTATACGAGCCCTAACCACATAATGTTCGGACACTTCATAATTTATACAGAAATTTTTTTCGTGAATACTATCTCAAAATTATTAGAAGTTATGAAAAATTCAGCTTATTTTGGCATATACCCCTCGAAGCGATTTTTATTTTTAAAAAGTTTACCTTTTATTTTTAGCTTTTAAAAAAAGGCTAACTTTTTAACTTTTTTTTGTATGAGTAAAAAAAGTTATAAATGGACCCATTAAAAAGAGCATAAAATATTATACAAACCCTGAAAATTTGGTAAAAAATAAATAAGTTATAAAAAAGTATAAGTAATTTAAAAATGCTATTTTTAAAGAGTTTTTGCAATTTTCTTAGGAAACGGGAGATTTTGCAGATATATATATCGCTATAACTTTCTTATTATTTATACAATTTTTACCAAATTTTCAGGGTTTGCATAATATTTTATGTTCTTTTTAATGGGCCCATTTATAACTTTTTTTACTCATGCAAAAAAAAGTTAAAAAGTTAGCCTTTTTTTAAAAGCTAAAAATAAAAGGTAAACTTTTTAAAAATAAAAATCGCTTCGAGGGGTATATGCCAAAATAAGCTGAATTTTTCATAACTTCTAATAATTTTGAGATAGTATTCACGAAAAAAATTTCTGTATAAATTATGAAGTGTCCGAACATTATGTGGTTAGGGCTCGTACTTAGGCATAATTTTATGCCAATTACCAATATTCTCAATTAAATAAACTGGCATCGGATGCCAAATAATCAAAATTTACGATTATAGCTTCAATTTGTCAAAGTCGATTAAATGCCAAGCTCTTAAAAATATATTTATACGCGTTCAATATTTAAGAAAAAAAATATTGTTGGTTTTAGTGCAGCTGCCAAAAACGTTTTCTATTGTAATTCCATTTAATTGTTTTAGAGAGGGAATCTTTGCTACACGTGCCAACTATTGTACCTACTGTGACCGTAAAAGAATCTTTTTAAATTGTTTTGTTCACGTGCTTTAAAATGGATGTACTAATAATACCACAACCAAATTACTTTACTTTTTCGATGAATCTCTTTTTAAATTTTTGTACTTTTAATGAAACATTTGTATCTTCATCTATCTAAGAGATTGTGTTAAAATTTCATCACAATCAAACAAAAGTTGTCAAAATGGTACTTAAAACAAATTTTGGCCAAAAACAGATTAGGAAATTTTTTTCAATTTTGAAATCTAAACATCATGTTAAAATAGTGACAGTTAAAATAAAACAACAACAAATAAAAATTAAATTATTTATTTCCAAAAGAAAATAAATTACACATTCTTAAACACAAAAAAAATAAAACAATAATCTATAATATATATGTTTGTATATGGCAATGATAAAAGGTCTTTTTACGCTATCTTACATACAGGGTGAATAAAAAATGATTAATTAGGTAAGTATTAAGAATATTACAAAATAATTTTTATTTCTTTAAAATTCACTGAAAGAAAACATTTTAAGCAAATTTTAAAATATTGTTTTTCATATTTAATACAAAATGTATGTTTTTTATTCATTTATTTAATATAAAACATTTAAAACAAGTTTTATAGAAAAGTAAAGATATTATCTGTCATTTTTTGCACACCCCATACCCACATTCGACTAAATCTACACGGAGAGATTTTTCCTAAAAAAACAATGTTTGTGTGTAAACCGAACTTATCATGCATAATATTTTTTTTATCTAAAACGAACATTTTAGGTGTGCGTCATAATGACGCACTTGCTGCCCGTGGTGCGTCATAATGACGCACGTACTCTACAAATGTTAAAACTAACATTTTATGTGTGCGTCATGATGACGCACTTGCTGTACATGGTGCGTCATTATGACGCACATCGCGTTTAATCAAAAAATTACATGACAGTTGCAAAATAAGTTCACAAACATGGTATTTTTGTCACCGCGTAGCGAATAGCTAGTAAAGCAGCTTCGAGTATCTCCTGTTTATCGAATCCTTCATGTAAAGCCTGAACGTGTTGCCGCTCGTCGTCGACCGTTCCAGCAGGTTCACGTCGTCCTTGAGCTTCTTCTCCACCTCCAGTTCATGCGTTTTGTTCCTGAAGGTGCGCATGGTTCTTTCCGCCCACGTTTGCGCACGCGGGATTTCCCTCTTCATTCCCTGCGCCCTCTTGTCCAAATAGTCGATCACGTCGTCGTAGTAGTTGCGTCTGTAGTCGTAGAGGTACTTGTACTGAAGAAACCTCGGCCTTAAAGCGATAAAGAATTATTTTTTAGAGATTATGAAGTTTGTCACAAGAGCTAGAATTTTGATTTTGTTGTTAAATCGTCACTTTCAGAATAAAACAGATGAATTAGTCTGAAGGACTTAAATCGCGACTTCTTGGTGGCTCCAAAATGCAATTATGTTAATCCTGAATTTAACAACTAAACGTATTTCGAAATATCCTTAACAAATTTAAAATTCAAGTTCTTGATGTATTAAAAACACAGTAAGCTTATACATGTTTTAAATGAGGCTGTGTAAGATGCTTATGTTAAGTACAATAGCTTTTATATAAAACAACGATTTTAGTTTTTTTTGTTCATTAAAATTATACGTAGTTCTTATTATCTTATTTATAAAAGTATTATTAAAAAATATATGAGTTTTAATACCTCATCATTTTACTTTCATTAGAGTCTAAGTATAGTTTTAATTTTGGCAGTAATAAGGACAAATTAATTTATTGCAACAAGACGATAATTTTTGCCAAAAACCATTAATAACATTGGTCACCTAGAGAAAAACAAAGACGTTCAAAATATGAAAGAGTGTGGCAAATAAATACACCTTTGTTTAAATATTTCCGCTACATTAACTGTTATTAATAAGTTAACCAGCCAAAAATTTTAAACGAATTTTTTTTTGGGATAATTTGTAATTTATTTAACTTTGTTATGTATATTTATATAAATATATACAGGGTTAGCTATAATCCAACTTTGTTATTTCAAATAGGACACCCAATATATTTTTACATTTTTAAATTCTACATATAATTCTGACTAAAATTACTTGTCTTCTAACCAAAGTGAATAGTTTTCGAGAAATTATTTTTTTTTCGGTATAATTTGACAAATGCGCGTCAATCAAAAATAGCCTATAACTTTTTGGCTATTGGGTTTGCGGAAATGGAGGTGGAATTTTTTGAATCTTAAAACATTGTTTAAAAGATTACATTGAAAATAGCAAGCCAGTAATCAAGCATAAATTTAAAAGCAATGGCCAAAATACTGAACATTTACTTACCTTTGAAATAAACACAAATTCCATGTCACAAAAATTAATTGGTTTAAAAAAAATTATGTAGGTTTGTGTTATGTTCAATCATAATTATATTTTATAAACTGTTTAAAATTGAGCCCCTATTAATGCCAAATTAACTCCAACAAAAAAACCGCTTGCTACAAATCATTACTTTGATCTATTAAAACTATAATTTAAAATGAATAGAGACCGCGTTTCTTGGAATTTTTCTGCTTAATATTTGATTATCAGCAGTGCCGGATTTACCATTTACGCGCCTTACGCCGTTCGAAAATTGCCGCCCTGAGTTTAACTAAGGAAGCAACTACAACTATACAAATCAATATTATATTGTATATACTTTTGAAAAGGTACATGTACAACTTTTAAATCATATTATTATAACAATTTTCGACGAGCTTTTTGAGCAGCAAAATTGTTAATTATTGCATCATAATCAAGAATTGTTGTTAAGTCATTCTCAATCGTCAAAATTGCTAACGAATTCAGTCGGTCTTGTTCCATAGTGGACCTAAAATAAGACTTCAAGCGCTTTAGTGTTGAAAACGAACGCTCGGCTGAACAAACTGTGACCGCCATTGCAACGAACATCCGTAAAGCGATCTCAACATTCGGGAATACAACTTCCAAACTCTGAGAGCGAATTTGTGAAAGCATGTTCGACACCGTACATTTTTCATGTTTTAATTCTTTCAGAAGCTCAGAAAAATGCAAACACTCTGTTGGAAAAGCATCATCCAAGTCATCCTTATAACATTCCTTTAAGTACCTGGCACTTTCGATAATCTGTGCTTGGGAGCTTTCCTTCAGACTGAAAAAGAAACTAAATTTTCGAAAAACAGTCTCATAAGCGTCATATCTTTTTTGAAGCTCCACTGTAATTCTATCCAGTATAGCAAAATACGTCTCCACTTTCAGCTTTTCTCTCCCTGTTAGAACGGTGTCGCGATCTCTATTCTCATCTGGGAAAAATTTGCGTTTCCGACTTCTTTGCTGATCAACGTCATATGTTTCATCCATAATATCTTTGGCTTTGCCAATATACGAAACAAAGATGTCTGAATTCCGCAGAGATTTAACAAAATTAATTAAAGATAAGTAGAGCGCAGTTACGTCACCAGTATCGATGTCGACGCTTTGGAGGATTTTATTGGTTTTATGGAAGCGCTCCAATATCGCTTCCCAAAAAACACACATGAAAGCACATTCAAAACGGTTTAATCGACCTTAATACCAGCTGCCTCCGCACGAACCGTTGGTTTTTCAGAAGTCGTTTCTTCAATTGCTGTCAATGTATTTAAATAATTCTTCCAACTTCCGCATAAACTCATTAAAGCATCATGGCGTGCAGACCACCGTGTTACGTCGATTCGTTTTGGAACTTTGGCACCGACTTTTAAATTAGACAATAAAATTTCCCAACGACGAGTGGATGCCGAAAAAAATGTATAAAGATTCTGCAAAGTGTCGAAAAATGTTACAGCTTCGTTGACACACTCTGCAGCGCAGACACCAACCAAATTCAATGAATGGGCAGCACAGGGTATGTAATCAGCCAGCGGGTTGCGATTTAAAATTCTTGCTTGCAAGCCGGTGTAACAGCCCGACATGTTGCTGGCGTTATCATAGGACTGACCTCGACAATGTTTTATTTTCAAATTGTGCATCTCCAATTTAGATATTAAGGCATTTTCCAAACCTTCAGATTTATGCCCCACGTTTGGTAGAAAGCCAATAAAACGCTCCAGTGGTTTTCCATCGTTTCCAACATATCTGATAATTATAGATAACTGATCAATGTGAGCCACGTCAGGTGTTGAGTCAACTATGACGGAGTAGTATTTGGACTTTTCAATTTCGGAAACGATTTTATGTAAAACTTCAGCTGACATTAATTCGATAAATTCATCACATACTGTAGACGAGAGATATGATGTTTTGCCACTTCCAGGATTTCCGTATTGCGACAGGTGCGTTGCTAAAAAGGGATCGAATTCGGCCATCAACTCGAGGCACATCATGAAATTTCCGTTTTTTGGATCGCCGAACTTCTCCACAGTTCCTCTAAATGGCAGACCTCTGGAAGCCAATTTCTTTACCACTGCAACTACCCTTTTCAACACATTTCGCCAGTACTCTGTTTCGACTCTTATTTGCTGAGTGAGCAATGTGTCAATTCTATTGAAAGTACTTTTCCGACATAAGAAGGTGACCTGACATTTAGCGTGTTCTTGGGAATTTTCATGCAAATTCAAAATTTTATTTACATTACTCCAGTCATTGATTCCGTCAGTGGCAATTTTGGATGTCCCTCCGAAAAGGCGGCACGGAATGCAAAACACGGTCTTTTTTGAGGGCGAATATACTAAATATCTACGAGGTTGTTTTTCTCCATTGGCAAGTTTGCGATAGAAAACGTTCTTGGTTAGACAACGTGTTGTACTGCAAAAAACAGTTTTTGTTAAAGAAAAATCCTCATCTGTATTTTGGCAAATTTCCTTAGGTAAGGACAGCAAATAATCGATGGTTACATCGTTTATCTTCCATTCAGCAGGGTCGTTACTGACACTGATATTGGCTGATTGAAAACTAAAACGCGTCGAAACGCTTGAAGTGCCTTCAGATGACGCTGTTTCCAATTCTGACCCTATATAAAAAATGATCTACCTAATTAAAAGCTCATCATTTACAGATGTACTTACTAATATCGTTCACGCTATCGACAGGGTTATTTCCGATATCGTTATTGGCGGAGGCTGAATGTAATCGCGATGGGACGTCTGCTTCTGATTCTGACCCTAGATTGAAAATCACGCTGGTAAAAAGCTCGATTCTCGATTTAAAGCTTTCACATGAGAACTTACAGCTACAGGTATCTTTCACGTTCACTTCTGGTACTTTTGGTCTGAGGGCTGCGGATGGTACACCAATAGTAGTCTCGATTTCCGTATCCGCATCCGGTGCCGGCGTTTGGTCTTTCGAAGTGGTAGGTACAATTGAAAAATAATTCACCAGTTTGGGTGTATTTTCTAAGACTGCCTGGCGTTTTATTCGCTTTTCTTCAGCGAGCGCCTTGTATGGCGCCCCACTTAACCGTTTTCGGCCGTCACTCATAGTAGTTAATTAGTTAGGTAATACACTACACGTAGAAGTACACATATAGTAACAAAAACTCTTATTTTGCAAAATATTTGACTGCAATACGACCTACACACGAACACGAGGGACGAGCGTCGAGGACGAGGCAAAATATAATTGTATGGAACCGAAATGAGAGTCAAGAGACGCAGTTTTAAAACGCCGCACATAAATAGGTACTGTTCTATGAAAAGAAAAATAATATCGGCGTCTCTTTGATTCAGATGATTGTAGTGGTGCCGCGCCTGATAAGGCCATCGCCGTTCGCCGCCCTGCAAAAGTCAAAGGTGCCGGCCAGCCGCCGACGTTGTTGTCGGGTCGTTTTGTTTTGGCCAATTAAAATAATGCCGCCTCTGCAGGTTTGCCGCCTTACGCAAGTGCGTAATTTGCGTCATGGTAAATACGGCCCTGATTATCAGTCTGACAAATTACAGAATTTGTGGATGCATCTGTCTTTGACAATCACAATCGGGCACAATAAACAAAATAACATATTTACATAATGTCTCAGGTATTCATGACACAAGAAGGTTATTTTTAGATCTAAGTAGTGGTTTTGTTAATAGAGTACATAGCGTAATGTGTGGTGTACAATATATGGGCGATTCCATTATTATCGCGGGTGTACATTAAGAACTATTTTCTGGTATAAAAATAAAAAACATTTTTATATAAATTCTTCTTTAAAGGCTTAAATTTTAAGCTGTTCTTTATAGGAATTTAAATAAAATATCTTATTGATGTCGAGAATATATTTTTTACTCAAGGCAACCTATTTTTGTTATATTTTGTCTACTAAATACAAAGTATCATTCCTAATTTTGACAAATTAGGCGCAACTACAGGACTGAAATTAACCAGTGATATAAAAAATATCGTAAATTAATTAAATTTGACATATTGTCGGCCACCTAACTGCAGTAAGTTAATGTGAACTAATAGACGTTATGCATCATACTATTTAACTAATATATTTTGGGCAATACGCCCATAATTATTTTTAAAAGGTAGCTGCTCATCGATAATCAAATTAAAAAATAATAAATTAAATTTTGTATTAAAGAAAATACCAATGAGAATGGTGAAATAAAGTTTATAAATCAAAACTAAAATTAAAAAAAAAACAATATGGCCTTTTTAGCATTATTAGATAATAGTTTAAAGATTAAAGTTTACCACTTGATAAAATTTTTTTTTAATATAAATTACAATTGTAGCTTTAAGCTTCAAAATATTGATTTTAAAAAAAATTGTGTTCAAATACTTTATTATACAAAATTTTCTGTTTAAATTTGTAAAAAGTCATTTAAATGATAGTCGATAAATTTTTAATAAAAAAATTCTCAAATTACATTTAAATGACTCTACAAATTCAAACAAAAACTTTTTATTTTTAACAATTTTAAATTAATACATTTTTAATCGATAATTTTAAATTTACAAAGTGTAAACGTAGCTTTAGCAGACGGCGTACGCTGTCTCTTTCTAGAGTGGCAGTGCAGTCAGCTAAAGCAGCGTTTACACTTTGTGAATTAAAAATTATCGACTTGCATTTAAATGAAATGTGAATATGTTTTTGTTAAATATGTATCAATTTAAATTTGTTAAAAATAAAAGTTTTTGGTTTAAATTTCTCAAGTCATTTAAATAATAGTCAAAAAATTTTTAATCGAAAAATTACCACTAAAATTTAAAACTAACATTTAAATGTAATATTTTTAAAAGTTTATCATTTAAATGTCTATTTACAAATTTAAACCAATAATTTTGTATACAATTTGGTATCCTATAGGAAATAAATATTTAAACTACTCTCTAAAAATGAATTAGTCAAAAATGACTAATTTAATAGTTATTACCATGGTTAACCAGGGAATTACAATGGTATCCCAAAATTTCATAGCCAATTATTATGTAAAATTGTCCCCTGAATCCGAAAATGTCGTCAAAAGTTAAAAAAGTAGAACAGTTTTTGAGATATAGTCAATTTTCCATTTAATATGGAATTGACTATATCTCAAAAACTGCTCCACTTTCATAATTTTTTACGGTATTTTCGGATTCAGGGGACAATTTTACATAAGATTGGCTGTTATATTTTGGGATACCGTGGTATTCCATGGTTAACCATGGTACAAGTGAAAGAGCAGCCACTAATAACTATTAAATTAGTCATTTTTGACTAATTCATTTTTAGAGAGTACAATTTTTAAAAATCAATATTTTAAACTAAAACTTTTACATTTGCATTTTATATTTAAAATATTTTTAGATAATCAATTGTTTTGAGATTAAAAAATTTAACTTTTTGAACTATTTTGGTAGAAAATGTTTTATATGTTTTTATTTGAAATGTCTCGACACTATTTTTAAATACTAAAAAAATTAACTTTAAAATCTTACAAAGTTACAAAATTCTGCCCAAATAAATTATAGTTGGAAATTTTGCAAAAATTGATTGGAAATAATATTGTTTATTACAGAAGTGTACAGAACTGTTAGTTAGTAAGTTTTGTCTTTCAATAAATGATAGTTAAAAATATTTTAAATTTTTAAATGTAAACCTAAATATTTTAGTTAGGAAAATTTTAAACAAATATAATTTTAAATTAAAAAATTATTTAATAAATGTTAAAAACAAGCCCCATAATAAATTTATGTATGCAAGTATTTGACATAAATTATTTTATTGGTTTTCTTGAAAATGGGGAATATTTATGGGTAAAACGAAAAATGAGGTGCGCAATAAATTTGTGAAAAACATTTTATTATCATGCTAAAAAACTATGACAGAGCTGTGATTTATACGTAACTACAATACATTGAAGGTTTTTTTATTTTGTTGTACTATTTTTAGTGTGTAATAGCGATTCGTTTAAAAACTAATTTATCAACTCGAAAAAATAAAATAAAAATATTTGCTTTTACTTATACGCATTATAACATCAATTAGAAGTGATATGCAGTGACATTGTATTAAACGTTGCTACAGAGCCCGTTGCCAAATTTGAAAGTTAAGTAATCGTATATCATTTGGACAATGCACAGACAGGTATTTTGAGCTAAAACGTGGCCAAAACTCAATTTTGTTCATTTTTATTACTAGATCTAAGATTGCGTGGAACACACTCAAAACAAAGGACTCCCTGCGCTTATATGCTGGGTTGGTAAGCCAACAGAGGCGAGATGTAAGAAAATTGAATGATAACATGACTATATTTTGGTGTAATTTTGGTGAAAAAAGTTGATATGGATATCGTCAATCAAGCTTTGTATAAATTTTGAGCAACATTTTATTTGTGTAATAAACTTTATTTATTCATATCGAGTACTATATCCATCTAACTAAAAATATTAAATTTTTCTCGTATTGTTAAACAAACATTTGTATTTTTAAATATATGCAAAACCTCGCAACGGCATTTGACCCACGTTTTATTAAACTTCAGGACATCTAGAATAACTGTAGGCATCAAAAACATTCACAAGTTTTATTTACATAACGGAAAAATGAACCCTTGAAAACAGACACTTTAGTGCAATCTTATAAGATTTTTAGGTAGATGGATATATTTATATTATATTATATATTTTTTTAAAGTGCCCACAAAATTTAATATACTCACAGGCAAAATAATCGATCCACACAAATTTTCGATGAATTTCAATCGTAAATAACTTTTTTATTTGTTTTCGGATTTAAACAAATATTAAAGAATATTGTAGATACATTAATGGAGAATCGCTCACATTTTAAAATTTACTAAAAAATACACGTACGTTTATAATATACAGGTTTAAACAAAAAGATGTTTTTTACCATAAGTTTAAGACACTCTGTGGAGTGGCAAAACCGTATATTGTTCGAAATTGTGTTTTAATTATCAAATCACATCTATTTTTAACAGTTTTGTTTTTGGTTCACCTTGATATATTTATTTTTGTGGAAAATATGGATTTTTAAAAAAAAACATTGCAATTTCCAATATTTTCCTGTATGAAGAACTAAGGTTGCTATGGTCCATCCATAGCCTACGGAGGATGACAGTGACAGTTTTGTTGAATCATCCCATACTTGGACATGTCATATACAGCTTTTAAAAGCTACCAAATTGTTTTTTGTAAATTAATGTGTTAATTTTGAGGTGTCTTCTTACTTTTAAAAATGTCTCCGACTGATGTTGCCCTTTGTACTTTACTTCTTGTGACGTTTAAAACACTTGCCACGTAATACTGTGACCGTCCATCCTGGAATCAATTAATGGCTCTGGCAACATCAGTCGGAGACATATCCATTTTTTAAAGTAAGAAGACACCTCAAAATTTAAACATTAATTTGCAAAAAACAATTTTATAGCGTTTGAAAGCTGTGTATAACATGTCAAAGTATAGGATGAATCAACAAAACTGTCACTGTCATCCTCCATAGGCTATGGATGGACCATAGCAACCTTAGTTCTTCATACAGAAAAATATTGGAAATTGCAATGTGTTTTTAAAAAATCCATATTTTCCACAAAAATAAATATATCGAGGTGAACCAAAAACAAAACTGTTAAGAATAGATGTGACTTGATAAATAAAACTTAATTTAGAACAATATACGGTTTTGCCACTCTACAGAGTGTCTTAAACTTATGGTAAAAAACATCTTTTTGTTTAAACCTGTATATTATAAACCCTACGTCTATTTTTTAGTAATTTTTTAAAATGTTAGTGATTGCCATTAATTTATCTACAATATTCTTTAATATTCGTTTAAATCTGACATCAGATAAATAAGTTATTTCGATTTTCGGTAGTAAATATACCTACTATAACTTGATTACTCGTTTTTTAGTCATTTGCTACCATTTTGATCCAGAAAAAGTATATATATTTTTGGCCACGTTTTAGGTCAAAATACCTGATTGTGCAATAGGTGATATTTTTTTAAAACAATTATGAATATACAAAAAAAAGTCCGCACGAAAAACAAACGATTTCTTACCGTTTCCAATGCTTGAACAAAATGAGTTTGTTGGGGTCCAGATACTCGTCTTCGGCCTCCTCCCTCTTCTCTTCGCCGGCTTCTGCGGGGGCCTCTCCCCCCGCATCGCCCCCTTCCGCGGGGGCGGCTTCCGCAGCTGCTGCGGGGGCAGCCGCAGCTGCAGCTGGTGCCTCTTCAGCGGGTGCCTCTGGCTCATCGGCAGATGAGAACCAGTCTGAAGCATCGTCGTCCGCCATCTTGATTTAGTTTTCTTGAGGAAGAGTTTAAAACAAAACTAAATCTGTAAATATTAAGCGAAAAATAACGAAATTAAACTATATAAATAAAATGACGTGTCAAAAATAAAAAAATAATATTTATTAATATTATTAGTTATGATATGATTTGATACGAAAAACATTAATTTTTTAAAATTTATTTAAGTAAAGTTTAAACTTAAAACAATAATTAGTCAAACATTTTTTTAAATATAAAATTAAAAAAAATAAAAATTTTAATTTACAAAATTTTCGGTTTGAATTTGTAAAGAGTCATTTAAATGATAGTCGATAAACTTTTAATACAAATATTTTCACATTACATTTAAATGTAATTTTAAAGTGGTAATTTTTGGATTAAAAATCTATCGACTATCATTTGAATGACTCTTTACAAATTCAAACCAAAACTTTTTATTTTTAACAATTTTAAATTGATACATTTTTAACACAAAATTTATAACTTTACATTTAAATGTAAGTCGATATTTTTTAATTTACAAAGTGTAAACGTCTCTGGAGTGGTCAATTGAATCGGTGAGATCAAGAACAGTACAAGTCCAAAATTCCAAAAGTCTTTACAATTTATTTTATAAAATCATTTTTTTAGTTTAAATTGCATTTTTTAAGAATATTTTATCTATTTTATATAATATAATAACCATATTTTGAACAATAGTTGAAACATCCTTACAAAAATGCATTTTAAAATAATAAAATAATTTTATAAAATATTTTGTCAAAATTTTAAATTCTGGACTTGTAATGTTCTTGAACTCGCCGATTCAATTTTAATTATTCAATAATTTTGTAGAATTAAATATAAAAAGTACTCTCTAAAAATGAATTAGTCAAAAATGACTAGTGGCTGCTTTTTCACTTGTAACATGATTAACCATGGAATACCATGGTATCCCAAAATTTAACAGCCAATTCTTATGTAACATCAATAATATCAAAAGTTAAAAAATTAGAACAGTTTTTGAGTTATAGTCAATTTTCCATTTAATATGGAATTGACTATATCTCAAAAACTGCTTCACTTTCAAAATTTTTGACGGTATTTTCGGATCCAGGGGTCAATTTTACATAAGAATTAAATTAAGTTTTGAGATACCATGGTATAAGTGAAAAAACAGTCATTAGTCATTTTTGACTAATTCATTTTTAGAGAGTACAATTTTTTAAAACCAATATTTAAAACTTAATCTTTTACTTTTGCATTTTACATTTAAAATATTTTTTGATTATCAATTGTTTAGGGATTAAAATTTTTAAACTATTTTGGTAGAAACACTAAAAAGTTTAACTTTACCAATTTAATCTAAATAATTTTTTAAAAAAATTATTTAGGATTTACAAAATTATTCTTAAGAAATTATTTTTATTAAAAAATGATAGTTAGAAATTTTTGCAAAAATTAATTGGAAATAATATTGTTTAATACAGAAGTGAAATTTTGTCTTTTAATAGGTACATTAGGGTGTGTCATTTTTAAGCAACTTTTTTTTTCAACTAAAAAACAGGCTAAAAACTTTCAGGAAGGTGAAAAAAGAAACCTCTAAAAATTTGAGCTCTTAATATTAACATTAAGTGGTGCCTGTTCCTAACTTTCCATTTTCCATTTAAGTAACATGGAATTTTACTCTTTACAATTTTACTCTTTACAAAAAAGTTTAATTACGTTTTGTTTAAAAAAAATCTTCCATTTAATAAAAAAATAATTAAAAATTATTTACAAAAAAAACAATTTAAAAAAAAATTGTTTTTGGACTGTTACAAATTTATATGTTACCAAAGTAGAAAAGCCTGTTGGTACAGTAACAATTTACACTTTTTAAAACTCTTGAATAATTAAATGATAAAAAGCAAATAAAAATTATACGAAAACCTATTTAATATTAAACTAAATTATTCTCTCAAACCAAAAATTAAATTAAATAATATTAAAAAACGTTGCAAACGAAAGACACAACACAAAAAACCAGGTAGGTATCCATTACAAACTTTTGAAAATCAGGTCGCACATCCACAAACAATTAAAGCAATAAATAAAACTGGCACACAAAAATCGCACTCACTTGTCGTTCTAGTGAATTGTTTCGAGCCAAAGTGGAGAGTACCTGATGTTCTAATAGCGACTAGTAGATTTAAAATGGCTCGCCCTACCCCCCCCTTCACGGCGCTCTATCGCGTCTTTATTTATCCTTCAGGATGCCCACCTTAACCCTACGACCTCACGCCACTCGTTTCGCGACTTTATTAATAGGACAAGCGCGACTTTTGGCTCTTATTTATTATACATATTTTTGTTATTATGGCTTTGACGGCTTAGACAAATTAGAGAAAAATGTTATTCCGGTTTTTGATTTCTGCTAGATTTATCAGCCAAATTATTTTTTGTAATTCATCCCGGCGCATCCGCCAATTTTGAAAGTTTTTAACAACCGGATTAATTTTGACGAAATTTGGTATGAAAGTGTCGATAATAGTTATTTTCCTAACAAGTGTGCAAAGTACTTTGCGTATGTGTTAGGAACAATATTTTTTCTACTAACGTGCGCAAAGTTAGATAACAATGATTATTTCCCTCATTATAATATGAACCAATCAAAAGCCCGAATAAATTTCGTTTAAATAAGCCATTAAATCACTAGAACTATTTAACAGCGATTAAATTATAGCCTCCATATTGGATTTTTGTTTACGATTTTATGGTGTTATTTACAAGTTTTAACAAACATTTTTTAAAAAACAATAAAAAATAAGTTATCTAGTTTACGAAATATCAATTATTACTTATTACATACCTTAAATTAATGGAATTTTCTTTTAAAAAATATTTATAAATTTTGACACATACGTCAGATTTTATGAATTGTCAAATAGTTTCCTTTAATTCGAGAAATAATCTAGACGTATATCACTCAACCTATAAATTTAATCTGTCAAACTATGCTCAGTAAGTTTTTTATTTGATTTTTCTTTTTGGAAAATAGTTTCATGCAAAATAATTAAAAATAAAACCCCTCGACCGCTACGCGGTCTCGTGATTTTATTAAATTATTTTGCATTCAACATTTTTCAACAAAAACCAAACAAAAAACTACTGAGCCTAGTTTAACCGATTAAATTCATAGTTCTCGTGATATAATATATGATTAATAAATTAATTTTTATTAATGTTTATTACAAAGGAACAATTATTAATATATTCTAAATTAATTGGTTAATTCATTCAACAGGTGACTTGTTGTACTATTTAATAAAGTTTGGCTTATCTCAGAAGAGAAGTTTTTTATGTCCAATATTTTATTTGATAATTTTTTTTTGCTTCATGGATTCTTCTAAGTAGCTCTCGGCGACAGCCGTTGATTTCCAGCCTACGAGTTGTTTAACATTGGAAATTGAAGGCATTTTACCAAATGTAATAATTCCTACACATTGGGTAGTGCATGCTCTTCTTTTATAATTTACAAAAAACCGCTTATGTTGGGTATTTGGTTTTTGTAAATTTGAATATTTTCGAAACAGTTGTAAGTAATGACCATTCTTGATTTCATCAGATATGGGTAATTCTACAAGTGTGACAACTTGATGTTATCAGTCAATAGAGTAGGTATTTTAATATTTTTTGTAAATATTTTAGTACGTTTATTACAAAAGATCCATGTTTTTTTAACTTGTCCACCCAATTTTAATGTATTTTTTCAAAAGCACGTTTGTAGAAAAACATAATAAATATTCAAAACACCAGTACCTTGGCGTGTCACAACTCCTGAATCAAATATTTCAGTGATTTTATTTTAAAATATATTCAATTTATCTTAAATTTTTCAATTTCACTACAAACTATAAAACATTAAATAATGTATTTTTCATATTTTATCATAGATTCGAATAATAGCAATTTTTTAAAAATTGATAATCTTTGTACTCACTTTTCCCGTCAGTTCTGTGTCCAATGTTAAAATTCAAAATTCCTGCGAAATATTGAAGTTTAAACGTCGTCCTCGATTTAACTCAACTGTTGGTAAAAAATTACCTACAGAGCCCGCTCTTTGCACGACAGTCATCTTGAAAACAATGCAAGCGGCGAAGTTGTGGTGAATGCACGTATAGTTCTAGTCAAAATTTCAGTACTGTGGTGAGTAGTTATTTTCTTACGTATGTATATATTTCATTGTAGTTTATATAAGGCTATATGTGATTTGTTGATAAGTAGCATCCACTAATAAAAAATATCAGTAAAATACTTAATTCCGAATTATAATCTCAAATTCATCAGTACCGTTTCGTCAGTTCCATGTTCGATGTTTCGGTTATCTTTTTTTCGCAAACTTCAATTTAAATTCTGCTTGCGCAGAACTTGTTTATTTAATGTCATTATAAACCCATATCTAATAATTGAGATATCGGTATACTCAAAATCCACCAGCCGCCACTGATGTGTGGTATTATTTGATTTTAAGATATTTAATGTATACATAATATGCTCAAAGTTGCAATAAATCTTTCATATATATTTTTCAATAAATTATGTATTTAATTAGTACCCTGGTATACTCGTCACTTCCCTTACATTCAAATTTAGAAAACACAGATATTTCAGAAACTGTTTGAAAAAGTGACTGGTCCGGTCTGGAACAGTATATTTAATATATTATCTATTCTCATAACAAAATACTGTTTAATTTTCTCCGAAAATTATATACTTAAACAAAATGATGTCAAAAGTTGCCCAACTTTTGTAGAATCACCCATATCACAAAAATTCTTATTGTGTAATTTTTACTGTCCGAAATTTTCAAGATTATCAAATTTTCTTTATCTTCTATATCATCAATCATTATTTTAATGAACTCTTCTTGCCTACAAGCACCAGCCACCCCAAAAATATTGGTAGCTTTTATTAAAAGGTAAATTTCATCTGGTGCTTCTTTAATAAATCTTGAAATGTCATCTTTCTTAAAAATGTTGGACTTTTTTGGTCGGTATCCCACATTTTCCTTTTTTATATATGATGTTAATTTATAATATAAACTCAAATCCAAATTTAACAAAGTATTTGGCTGAAATAATTTTCTTAAATCCGCAAAATAGGCCTTAAAACTTTTTGTGCCTTTGTTGTTGAACCAGTTTTCAAAATGTTTAAATTGTTTCTTATATTTTTGACAAGATTTCGCTGGTAATAAACTCTCATTTACAGTAATATTTGCTGCCTCCAGGATGTCATATGGTAGCTCTTCATCCAAAATGTTTATTTTAATTTCTCGAAAAATCTATAATATATTATGAGTCATAATTTATGACGTTTCACTTTGTTTAACACTTGACATGGAAACTAAGTAACTAACTAAATTTGATTTTGATTTTTTAAATCGTTATAGATATTTACTCTTAAAAACTGACATAGTAGGCCTTGTATTTTGTAAAAATATGGCATTTTATTCTCTAATCGCACAATAAATAAAGATTTTACAGGGGTGAGTCGCAAACAAATGGGTCACACTGTATATTATAATTGGACCAGTGGCAGCCCGTGACATTTCATTTTGGTGAGGCAGAGGCAGGGTTTCGCCCTCATTTAAAGGCGTAGATATTTTTTTAAACCCAACTTAAAAAACTGACGTCGCAGTTCAAAACCTATACTTAAAACTAAGTAAAAAACTTAGACTGTGGTGGGGAAGGAATCCTCTACTTTGTCAATGAAATATATTTTATTGTAAAAATGACGTTTATTTTAAATAATCCTCATTTTTGTCTAATTAATATTTCATTGTTCAGCAAAAACCACGTGAATGTCAACAATATCGGTACAGTTTCTCACCGTAATATCCATAATGACTAAATTCACATAAATAACCAAGTTCAATTAACTAAACCCACAGAATAAACCACTTACAAAAGAATCATAAAATAGACAAACTCATAGAAAAAGAATAAACAAAATATTTCGTAAATAACCACAGATTTATTCTTTAAACAGTTCAGAATTTTATAACCAAAACAAACCTAAAGAAGGAATCTGTATTTATTTTATTGGTTACTGTGATGGCTACAAGATGGCGATAGTGTTAAAATATTTATGTTTATTTTAGAATAGAAATATAATTTCGATTAAATCGATTTATTATAAGAAAAATAATACCATTTATTATTGAATTTTGAAAAACGTGTGAAGTGTAATTTATCTAAAATTCCGCAACAGTGTTGCCACAATACCTGCTTATTTCCTTGGATGTAGGCGTGCCTGCCTCGCGTATGCTAATACGATAGAAGGAGACAACTATGATATCGCATTGTAATAGAAAGAGACAACAAGGCTAACGCCAATCGTGAGTCTAAATTAGTTCAGGCATGCTTCTGAGCCAATCATTCATCTAGCTATAAATATTATTTTAAATTGGGGTCGTTTAAAATTCAAATAATTTAAATGTTGTTGGGTATTCCACGTATAAAATCAATCAATTTTATTGACTATTTCACAATTCATGTAATCCAAATATTAAAAATTTATAGTATATTATAGAAAGTAAAATATTTAAATTATACTTAATTTTTTAATTCTCTATGATGAGGCACTGCCTCACCTGCCTCCCCTGACGGGCCGCCACTGCATTGGACTTGGTTGTGTTAACAATTTTTATATGCACTGACTACTTAAATAAATAAGTAAATTGTTTTTATCTACGCCAGTGAGATAAGAACTTCTTATCCCACTCATTTTGAGTGAGATAAGAAGTTCATTAACGCACGCGTTTTTCTCTGCTTTTAACCAATCAAATAAAAAAGTCAAAATAACCCTAAATTAAGTCTTAGACAAAAATAATTACCGTTTATTTTTTCATTTAGAGGCGTAGATAAAAATTTGTACAATATACGTGTGATAACGCTTTATTAACGTACTTTTGAGATTGCCCAACTCGTGCTACGCACTCGTTGGGCAAATTTCGCATGCGTACGTTAATAAAGCTCTTATCCCACTTATATCGTAAATAACTATTATGTATATCCGGATATTAATATATTATCAATGATGACTCCCAGACTTAACTTGTTGATTTTTTGATTAGGTAAATTAAATATTTTATTTTCAGTAAACTCCACATTACGATTACTATATATAAATGAATTAATTGTCTACGACTTTTAAGTGGATGACTCATAATTTTATCTTAAAATAT